TCCACCTACAGGCCCCAGGACTGTTTGTCCTTGACTAAACAAATGTTATCCAAGCCCTTCTTGCATCAGACAGTACAAATAGTATCATAGCTGAGTGTTTTTGCTGTGCAGCTCTGTGAGTGATGCTGAAGATTTCAGGTGACTGTTAATAAAAACATGTATAAAATATATCTCATCATGTGTAAGTTCCTTGGAGCAATGCAATTCTCATTACAGGCAGCTAAAGCTCAGATCTGTCACAGGCACATTTAAATGGGATTTTAAATAGCAAAAGGTATTTAATGAGATTTGATTTTTTTAGTGGCTTTTCATAATTGCATGAAGTTTAATAGTGTTTCCTCCTGTATTTAGTGTATCATTATTCTTCCCCCTCTTCTCCCACCACCAAAAATGCCTTTCCTAAGTGCTGTAGCACCTTGACTGTAAGAGAACCACCATTAAACATCTATAAACATCCCCCTCCCACGCGTGCTGCTGCCAAGTGTTTGTCTGGAAGTTGTGATGCATTGCCCTGGTTAGTGAGGCCATGGTTCCAACAGAGGATTAGAGGAATGCACATTAATTATTCATAGCCATCATTGGTGCTGTGGGCAGTTCTCAGGACAGGGCTGTCCCCAGTCAGCCTGGTGACAGGAGACACAGCAGCATTGTCTGAGTGGCCTTGGCAGGGGACACAGTTACTGGTGATGGTGGTGGCATCGTGGTTGTCAGCAATCTTTCTGGGCTGTCAAGCTCCTTCTGAAGAAAATACAATGGATGTGATCAGCTCAGGCTCCTCTGGGCTTCACTGGGCTGTGTGGTAAAGGATTAGGGTGTGGGGTGGAAGGGAGGAAGCACAGCCAGCAGTGAAGGACACCGTGGGACAGGCAGGAGGATGAGGGGAAGGATCCATCTGCACTGGTGGCAGTGACTCTGCACTGCATCCCCAAGGCTTCCTACAAGAAGCTCCTCAGTGTGCAGCTCTGTCCTGCGTGCTTGGAGGTCTGCTGGAAGCCCCCCAAGCTTCTTCACCTGTGTTCTGCTTTGCTTGGAGCAACCAAATTGCTGCAAAAGCCAAAATTTGCTGCTGCTCTCAAATGGAAGGGGTATCCATTTGAAGGGACCATTTAGAAAGGAGTCACAAATCACCTCAAACATTTCAACCTATTTCACAGATTTATTTGTTCTGGCAAGTGAAATTCCAGTGAGGAATGAACTTTTAATAGCTGAGAGTTTAATAATTTTTTTAAATAGCTTCATGGCTGCTTTTCCAATCTTGGAAATACATGTGTGTGTGTGTGTATTAAAATAAACAAAAATATTTCTATGATGATAAGTAGGTATAAATGGAAAGATACTCTGTGTGTTATCCAACCATATGTGAAAGAAAAAGAAAGGAAAAAGGCTTCTCCTAGGATTGCTGTTCTGCTGATTCACATCTGCATTAGGACCACAGGGGCAGTTTCCCAGTGTCACTTCTTTGTTCAGGCAGCCTCCGCTAAATATATTTGTTTTGATAAAACAAGAGCTGGGAAATGAAATTAATTATCTGGTGCCTTCTGGAGAATCAACTGGTCTTGTTTGTTTATATAGAAGAGATGTAGGGGGAGTGATGGTGGGAGAAGTTCCTTGCCTGGCTTATTTCAGTTATTGTGCACATTATTTGGTTCTTCCTGATGAATTCCTGTGAAGCAGCTTTTCCACTCTGCAGCTGAAAACAGTCCTGCCAATGCACAAAGTCAAGAGGAAGCCACAGGATGAACAAAGCAGAGTCTTTGTGTGCAGAGCAGGGTGGAATTGAGGATGACCCAAGGTTCATGCAGCAACCTGGAGATTGCTGTGATCAGCTGCTTCCATGGCTGCACATCAGTGGACAGCAGGAGTGGCACGGAGGGGAAGCAGTTTTTAGTTTGGTTGCAGGTTTCCTGGGTTCATGCTCTGGTTTGCTCCTGCACAGGATTATCTGCTGCTTTGCCAGAGTCACTGACACCACTTGAAGGTTCAAATATTTCCTCGTAGAGCTGCTGGTGTGGGGTTTTTCAGATTAGCACAGTGAAAAATGAACTGATTCAGTGGCTGGACTGCTTGCAGCAGACTCTAGGGTTTGGGATCAATGGTGGTCTGAAAGCAGGGAGAAGTGATGATTTATGTTAGTGACATCTCCAGCACATCAGAGTCTGGGTTCAGAGATTTTGTTCAGAACCCTTTGATTTCTCCAGTGAATGTCATCACCTGCCAGCAGTTGCCTGGCTTTAACCTGATATCACTTGAACTGTAAGATAATTGAAGATATTTGCCATGCAGTTGGCTATGGAACCTAGACAATATAGATATTTTATCTTCTTTTTTGACATTTAATCATTGGAGTAGGTTCACATTTAAACTGGCCACAGGCACTATTTCACCAGCAAAATACAAAGTTTGGGCAGTGTCTGGGATGAGGAATGTTTCCTTCCCATCCCTAGCCAAAAGCAGGTGTTTCTTAGCTGGGTAATCAAGGTTGTCTGTCCAGCCTCATGCTCTGACAGAGCACTGAACCTCAGCAATGCAGAATTCCCTCTCCAGTGGCATTAGCCCAGCTAGGAAAAGCTCTCCTTACATCTGAGCAGTGTTGAAGTCCTCTGTGATGGAAAACATCCCAGTACACCCCATGCAGTCACTTCCATTTTCCTGGTCTGGTACCAGGGGGCTCTTGTTGTCCCAGCCCACTTGGGGCCAGCTGAACATCTCATTGCTGTTCACTGTGAGGCAAAGATGATTGGCAGGAACAGGAACAGGGCTTAAATAATTTATAGCTCCTTGCATACATTTTAAACCCATTTAAACTGGAAGAAAAGCAACCAAGACAGACTCTTTCCATTCTTGTTAAATCACCCTTTTGCAGCCTTAACTTCTCTGTGGCAGATGGAAGAACACAACCATAAATATGTTTGCAGGAGCCGCTGAAATATTTACGTGGCGTGGCACGCACACACCCAGCAGCAACTTCCTTCCAACAAGAAACCCAGCTGAAAGCTCTCTGCCAATGTTCTGTGGAGGCAAAATGCCATGCACCACTTGAAATTCTGGTTTTGCATGCAACAAAAGCTCCCCATAACAGATGGGAGTATTAACCACATTTTAGAAGGAAGGATGTCTGAGGCTGCTGATAGCAGCCCCACAGAGGTAGCACATAAGTCCTGTCACCTGACAGATAAGGCTCCAGAATTTGGAATATCTCATCCAAGTCCACTGTGAGCCTCCTGTTTTGCTTGTGCTAGAGATGGAAATGGATACCCAGCCATTTTGTGTGAAAAGAGATCCTAAGGGCAAAGCTTTGTTAAATGCTATAGGAGAAAAGTAATTAAATAGATGTGGATGGCACTGGCAGAAGAAAAGTGGCTTCCTCTCCTGAGACTGGGGTAGAGGGCTGTGATTTCACATCTGATAAATGCTGGGCTTTGGTCCTGAATATCAATTGGTACCACAAACACCTCAAGCCCTTCTCCTTAACTCATGCTTAAGAAATCTCCAGATGTCCTAAATCAGTTTAGGGTCCACCAAGTATTTAAATATGCAGGGTTGTCAGGGTGTGTAATGACAGGATGGGAAGTGTCAGGGATGGGTGTGAGCAATGCACTGAAAGCAAATTTCCCCTCTTCAGTCTGTCACCAGGGGTACAAAAATGTACATTGCATATCCATGCACTGGGAATCTCACAGGGCTTGCAGAAACCTACTGCCTTGCACTGCAAATTAGAGACTTACAGGGTGGGGGGAGGTAATAGCATGTATTTAGGGTAAGTCCTGTGTTTATAAGCATCACTGCGTCCTGCTTGCCTTGGAGAGAACTGGCATGGGATCCTGTGGGCTTGGGAAGGAGCAGTGAGGCTGCCCTCTGTCCATGGGCTGGCTCTGCCCTGCCCCGAGGCTGCTCTGGATGCCTTGGCCTGGGTGCCCCTCCCGAGGGCTGACAGGAGCTGACAGGAGTCTCTGTGCTGCAGAGGGGCTCTGGCAGCAGCTCAGGTGCCTGTCCCTAGGGCTGACAGGAGCTGACAGGAGTCTCTGTGCTGCAGAGGGGCTCTGGCAGTGGCTCAGGTGCCCATCCCTAGGGCTGACAGGAGTCTCTGTGCTGCAGAGGGGCTCTGGCAGTGGCTCAGGTGCCCATCCCAAGGCTGAGAGGAGTCTCTGTGCTGCAGAGGGGCACTGGCAGCAGCTCAGGTGCCTGTCCCTAGGGCTGACAGGAGTCTCTGTGCTGCAGAGGGGCTCTGGCAGTGGCTCAGGTGCCCATCCCTAGGCTGACAGGAGTCTCTGTGCTGCAGAGGGGCTCTGGCAGCAGCCTGGGTGCCCGTCCCAAGGCTGACAGGAGTCTCTGTGCTGCAGAGGGGCTCTGGCAGTGGCTCAGGTGCCCATCCCTAGGCTGACAGGAGTCTCTGTGCTGCAGAGGGGCTCTGGCAGTGGCTCAGGTGCCCATCCCTAGGCTGACAGGAGTCTCTGTGCTGCAGAGGGGCTCTGGCAGTGGCTCAGGTGCCCGTTCTGAGGGCTGACAGGAGTCTCTGTGCTGCAGAGGGTCTCTGGCAGCAGCTCAGGTGCCTGTCCCTAGGGCTGACAGGAGCTGACAGGAGTCTCTGTGCTGCAGAGGGGCTCTGGCAGTGGCTCAGGTGCCCATTCTGAGGGCTGACAGGAGTCTCTGTGCTGCAGAGGGGCTCTGGCAGTGGCTCAGGTGCCCATTCTGAGGGCTGACAGGAGTCTCTGTGCTGCAGAGGGGCACTGGCAGTGGCTCAGGTGCCCATCCCTAGGCTGACAGGAGTCTCTGTGCTGCAGAGGGGCTCTGGCAGCAGCTCAGGTGCCCATCCCTAGGGCTGACAGGAGTCTCTGTGCTGCAGAGGGGCTCTGGCAGCAGCTCAGGTGCCCATCCCTAGGGCTGACAGGAGTCTCTGTGCTGCAGAGGGGCTCTGGCAGCAGCTCAGGTGCCCATTCTGAGGGCTGACAGGAGTCTCTGTGCTGCAGAGGGCCTCACAGACACTGGCAGGCTGCTCTTGCTCACAGCTCATCGCGCTCCTCCTCGCTGCAAATGCAGGCGCTCCTCTGGCTGTTCATGAAGGGCCGGCAGCCCAGGGTCCAGACAGCGTTGAACACCGTGTCTGCCATGGATTCACAGGCTGTGGAGAAGGACAGGGTGGCCAGGTAAGGACAGGCAACTCCCAGCACCCCAGCCCCAGCCCTGCACTGAGCTCTGTGGGGTTTGCCCTTGGAAGTGTGGGCTGTTGTCTTTTCTCTCTGGGAACTGGGTTTTTATAAATCCTGAGGTTCCCTTCTCTCTTCCTATCGATGCAGGGTGACTCCAGTGTAGGGAATAATGTGTTCTAACTCCATTTAGAAAGCTGAATAATTGCTTTATTAAGCTATACTATATTACACTAATACATACTAAAACTGTATTAAAGAAATACTATACTGCAGAGATACTAAAGAAAAACCAGTGACAGTTTCCAGACAGTCACGACACACATAGATCCAGCTGGTCAAAGAATCAAAACAACCTTCAGCAGTGTCTAATTAACAAATCACTTCAGGTAAACAATCTCCATAACACATTCCACACGTGCAAAACAACAAGAGCAGTGAATAGAGATGAGAATTTTTTTGTCTTCTTCTCTCTGTGCTTCTCACTGCCTTCCCCAGGAAAAATCCTTGGGAAAAATTGTGCCTGCTGCTCTGTGTGAAGAGAGCTGTGGCCACATCTTCTCCCCAGGGTGGCACTAATTTCTCTCCCCCCTAAACCCCTCCTTTATTACCTCTTTCAGGCCCTACTAGTTGATGGATCATCTGGGGCTCTGCAAACAGCACTGTTTACCAAACAGATTTCCCAGGAGCCCTCCACATTACTCCTTCTCTTCTGAGTTTTGCCTACAGCCACTATTGACCAACCTTTCTGGGCTTTTTTGGGAGTTATGATGCCAGCTGCCAGCCAGCATGAAAAATCCTACAGCAGCTGGAGCAGCTGACTGCCTGACTACCAGCCCCTCCTCATCCCAAAAAACAACCCTGAAAGTGCTTGTCAGTAAATAAATAGGTTAATAGTAAATCTTTAGGGTTTGTTTACTGGCACCAGCACTGATAGCTGTATGCATGGTGAAGCTGGGAAAGCCTTGCCTTTGGGACTGTTTTATCTCAGCCTCTCCAAGCACCTCAGAGCTCCTGTTCCCTAGGAGGCTGCTGAGCTGGCAGGCACTGGAGAGGCTGTGGTGAGTCAGTGGGAAAAGCAAGGCTTTGGATGCCAGATAAGAGCTGGGATGGCTGTGAAGGAGGAGGAGGGCTGTGACAGGAGCTGCTCAGAGCAGCCCTGGGGATGGGATCTGCAGGGCCCAAGGCAAGGGGAGGATGGCTCAGAGGTTCACTGGTGTTACCTGTGCCTCCTACAGCAGCCAGGACAGAGAGAGAGAGGAATCCACTCCTGCCTGGCTCAGCCCAGGAGTGTGGGCTCTGCTCCACCTTAACCCCCTAGGATCTAGGCTTGCTTTGCTGCTGCAAGCAGAGAGCAAGGAGGAACATATGAAAAAGTGGAAAATCTGAAGAGATGGGAAGAAGTTGGCTGTGTGAGGAGCTGTTGATAAGGGTGACCGTGAAAGATTGGCTGTGCTCAGCCTGTGGCACTTTTGTCTCAGTCCATGTCTTTGATTTCTCTTGCTGTCCTGGGCACTCTTTCCATGCATTTATATGTGACCAGGTAGGAAGACATCTGCAGGCATCTACTGGTGTCATGCAGGCTTCCTGTGTGTCCTATTCAGGCTGCACCTTTGGACAACAAATGCATATTGAAGGATACCCTAGAGCAGGGCATCAGCAGAGGTTACCAAACAAGCTCTTCTCAGACCTGCAGGCTGAGGCTTTTTAAATTAGGCAAAACCAGGGTGGCACTTGAGCTGCTGGCACATCCCTAGAGCTTGTTAGCACTTCTGAGCCATCCAGAGCTGCCTGCAGTGGCTCAGCCACCCCCAGCCTGGTGTGTCCCTGGTGCCATCACCATCTCCTATCTGTGACCAGATCCCTGTCCTTGGCTCTCTCTGTTTTGCTGGCCCCTGGCCATATACAGGTTTCAGTGTGTGTCTCACTGGCCCTGGAAGGCTTCTTGGTATCCCATGAAGGTGTTTGAATTGTTTGGGAGTGCATCCAACTAATTGGATAAATTAGTGGAAGTGGAAACCCCACACTCCTAACTATCCTAGCTATCCTCTCAGCAGGCCTGGGAGGATGAATAGGACTCAACCAAACACAAATCCAAAAAATCCTGCCCTTTTCTTCCATCTCCCACCTGGGCTGAATAGCAATCATTATCATCTACAACCCTAAACTCACCCTCCTCAACTTCTACCTAGACACTGTAATAACTGCAACCGTTTTCCTCACCCTAAACACAATCAAAGTCCTAAAGCCATCCACCCTAATAACTGCATGGACCAAAATCCCATCACTGAACACAATACTACTCCTAACCCTACTCTCTCTCACAGGACTCCCTCCCCTGACAGGATTCCTGCCCATGTTTGAATTGTTTGGGAGTGCATCCAATTACTTCCAGGGTTGTTTGTGGGGTTTTTCACACATTGTAATGTTTTCCAAATGCAAATAACCGTAGGTCTCCAGCCTTGGGCCAGAGGTGTGTGGCAGAGGGGGCAGATCTCTGTGCTCTCACCCACCTGTGACAAGTGCAGCACAGAGCTGCTGCTCCCCACTGCAGAGTTCTGGCAAGGAAAGGCTGCCTGCCCAGGGGATGAGAGGCAGGATCCTACCTTGCACCTTGGAGACGAAGCCCAGGCTGCGTTTGAGGTCGGAGCAGATGGAGTGCAGGCACCAGCGGAACTTGGCGTCGCAGCGGTACTTGTTGGCCCCACAGGTGTCATAGCAAACATCCAGCTGGTTACAGCACTTGGTCATGGCAGGGATCCCCAGGTCTAGCTGGGAAAGAGAAAAGAGGTGTCCCTTGGTTGGCTCCTGGCCTCGGGCTCACACAGCTGTGGTGGGGTGAGGTGCTGCAGACCCCAGCTGGCTCCTTCTCCAAAAGCTGTTCCTGAGAGCCAGGGCAGCAGGAGGAATGTGTGCTGCTCCTTCACCATCTAAACAAGGGTGAGGGAGCAGCACAGTGGTGTCAGTGGTGCAGGCTCAGTGCAGGCTACATCACATTCTCTTCTCTCTGTATCCCAGGGAATCAACATCTGGCAGAGAGGTGGCAAACAGCCCCTCCATGACCATTTTCTAGTTTGCATCTGTCAGACAGCTCCATGTCCTTGCCAACAGTGGCAAAGGCCCCTTTTTCTTTTCCTCTTTTTCCCACAACCTGACAAGGTCCTGGTTTTTGCCTAATAAACGTGCCATAAATATTTTAATGCCTTATTTCTCAGAGATGCACTTGAGATAAACACAGCATGGTCAGGGGAGTTCTGCTCCCTGTAAGCTTAGCTAATGACCCTGAGGGTGATGGGGCAGAAGACCTGTCTCCTGGAGAGACTGCACTTGTTAGCTTGTTATGAATTATTCCTCTTTTTGCCCTTCCTCATGTAAAATTTAGGAGATGAATTGTTCCTTCATTGCACTCGTGATTGCCTGGGTACAGAGAAGGCACCACAGAAATGCCCACAAGGTTTGCAGTGAAATAGAGTTTCAGGAATTAAACCTAACATGAAAAATGACCTGCAAAGAGAGGGGTTGTCAGAGCAGGAATCTGCCTAATTGCTGCAGATTCCTTGGGCAGCAATAATGCATGAGCTAAATAGGAATCCCTGCTCTGAGAGCCTCCTGGGAAGGCTTTTCCTGGTGATTCCAATGTGTTCATTAATTGCCTTTAAGATAACGAGCAGGAGGAATATTAAAGCCTCTGGGTTTCATTCGGTGCTTGGCAGAGGCAAAAAGTGTGGGAAGAGGTGAGGGGCAGGTGTGGAGGATGCACTCAGGTGTTGCTGTGTGCACATAGGTTATTGTCAGCCACTGCAGAGCCCAGCCCAGCCTTCTCCTTGCCCAGAATGATGAGCTGGTGATGTGCTGGAGAGCTGCATCCTGTGGGCTCGGTGGCTGGGACAGTACATACACTTTCAGGTACCTTGAGCCCCAGAAAATGGGAGCTACAGCCATTGGGTTCCTGCGGTTTGTAGTGAGGCCGTGGCATGGGAGCCTTCCCTGGGAAAGAAAAGACAGGACAAGGGTTAGGAAAGTTGATCTTCCCAAGACTGCACTCAAAAAGCAAGGAGTGCCAGGCACTCCCCTTTGGTCTGCATCCCTAAACACTGCTAGCTCAGCAAGGGGGTTTCTTTCTATCCTCAGCTCATTCTTGGACTCTTGGTGTGCTGTGGATGTCCCCAAACTGTGCCAGACCTTGCATGTCTGATCTTGCTCTGAGCAGGTCTTGGTCCATTTTCTGCCCATGGTGATGCCCTGCCATGTTTTGCAAATCATTTCTGTTCCTTTAATCTTTGCACCTTCCTCAGTCTCCTTCTTAACATGCATAAAGGAGCAAGAACTCCCTCTGTGAATAATTATTTACCCAATGCAGGAAGAATCCAGCTCACAGCCAGCTCTAGCAGTACCTTCCAGCAGCATTTAATCTGATTTTTGTAGGGGAGCCTGTTCAGTGCCCAACCACCCTCTGGGGAAGAACCTTTTCCTGATACCCAACCTCACCCTGCTCCAACACAGCTCCAGCCATTCCCTGGCTGCTGTCCCTGCTCTGGGAAAACATAAACTGAGGGAATGCTCCAACAAAAATTTGTGTGAGCTGAGCCTTCTGGAGCCAGTCACATCAAGGGTTAACTTTCTGCTTCCCTGAGCAGGGCTAGAGAATTTATACAGACATAAAATGGATCTAATTCAGCCCTTCAAGGCAGGGTTGGGTTCTTTTAAACTCCATTTCCACTTCTTGCTTCTTGTCAGCACCAGGAATTATTTAAGACACTTTCCCCATTTTTCTGTTCAGGTACCTGAAATGCCAGTGGTTAATTCAGCCATAAATCTGCTGTGCCCTTGGGGAGGCCTTGCAGCCAAAAGCCTCAGAGGGACCCATGTAGGAGTGCTCCCAGCACCTCTCAATTAAACTTTGCCAGAGCTGTTTTGCTTAAATATATATACATATATATATAGCAAATAACAGATTTGCTACCAAATAAATAACAAACTGAAATGCTGTCCAGCTGGGAGATGCCAACAGGCAATTTTCCCCTTCCAAAAGAGCCTTGATGTTTTTTTGGAAGGGAGTGAGAACTGGGATTCAGAATTCAAATGTTCCTGAACTGATGCAGGAGGCAGAGGAAAGTTCAAAATCCGCTGTGGGTTTTGCAGGATGGAGTCAATTTTTAGTGTCTTGCTTGAAATATTGGTTGTAAAAATAGTATAAAAAATGTAAAAGAATGTAAAAATAATATAAAAAATAATTGGTTGTAAAAACCAGGAACAGTTAATGGGTTAAAATGGCAACTCTGAGTAGGAGTGAGACTTTTTGGGATGTGGAGATCACAGAATGGCTTGGGTTGGGTGGGACCTTTAAGATCATCCAGTTATCCAGTTCTACCTCCATTATCCAGTTCCCAGCCAAAAATAGCTGTGTTTCCAGATCTTCAATTCAGCTGAAGTCACAGCTATTATAAGAGAAATAGTATAATAGCTTCTAGAAAGCTGTCCTGAGGAAAAAAACCCTCATATAAATAAGGATTGTGCTGATCCACAAAACATCAAACTGCCTTTGGGATAATCCCTTGTAGGAAACCTGTCCCCTCCCCTCTGCAAAACAGAGCTTTAAAACTTATAAAGTGCCCCTTTGTACTCTTTCTCAGCTAGGTCAAGTCCAAGACACCACAATTAACCTCTCTCCCACATCTTGTTTTGTAGGTAACAGGAAACCAAAGCAAAACAGGAATATCAGGCATTCCTGCCTCTCTACAAGCATTGACTCAGTGCTCCTGTTATCATTTATTGCTTGCCCATCCTTACAGACAAGAAGATATAGATTTCAGGCCACTGCCTTGTTGCCACAGCCCTAGAACTGAAGCTGAGTTTCCCTGATGCATTTTAATGCCCCCAGGCTGCTGTAGCTGTTCCAAGAGGCTGGAAAGCAGCCAGCTGGCTGGAGCAGCTGCTGGCAATGCAGGAGGTTCAGGCACTGCAGTGCTGGGACACTGGCAGGGGGAGCTGAGTGTATTTTTGGGTGAATGGGTGGTCCCAGGGCTCCTTGCACTTTTGGGTGGTCCATTGTTGTTTGTGTGCCCCCAGGCAGGGGCAGGCTTTGAGCAGAGGTGCCTGCACACATCCATCCCTGTTGGAGACAGGCTTTGGAGGCTCTTTTCCCACAGCCTGGAGGTGCCCCCTCCTCTGAAGCCCTTCAGGACCAAGGGCTGAGCAGGGCAATGAAGTCTTGCCTGGCCAGGAGGAAGCTACAAGGGCTTCACTCCCAGCTCAGGCTCTTTGTTTCCCCTGAGATGCCCAGTGAGACTTTGTAAGCAGAAGGATATTTGCCAGTAAATGCTAGTGTAACCCTAATGTCCTGATTTAAGGGAGCCATCCATCAAGTTGGTTGTTTTCAGACCTCAGTAGCTGCTGAAAAATCAGGAGAGGCTTGCAGCTGGAACAGCCACGTGCTCAGCTGGAGATGGATGTGGCAATCACAGGTGAGTCCTGACCTTTACTGTGGCAAAATAAGCTATTTTTGGTATCTCTTGGCTGAAATGAAAGTAAGTAGAAGGAATGATTTTTGTTTCATGCCTAGGGAGGAAAAGCAATCAGGACCTGATTCAGCACAAAGATGGTTTGTGTTCATCCTTCTGAGCAAGGACTGGATCTCACTGGTTTGGGAGCATCCCAGCATCCTCTCCTCTCCTGTTTGCAATGTCTGTGCCAGAGATTAGCAAGGACAAATGGTCCTGGAAGGGTCCAGCAAGCCCCTTGGAGCCACGTGGGCAGCATTTCAGAAGTGTTCTCCTTCAGGCAGTGATTAATGAGCTGTTCAGCAGAGGGTGAGAACTGGGCTAATGATGGGCTTGTTTTCCTTTCTAGGTAAAACACTGCTCCTGTAAGGGTGTGAGCAGGGATCTGTGCTGCTCTCTGGAGATGCTTTCCACAAGGACAGGCAGGGAGAGCCCCCTGGATGTGTCCAAAAGCAGTAACTCCTGCATGGTGTGCTGAGTCCTGAGGCTCCCTGAAACCAGCTCTGAGTATCAGCATTGCCTCAGGCACACTGCAGTCCCAGCCCCATGCCAGGGCTTTCAGTCTCTACATTAAGGAGGGCAAGGTCCTTTCTGCTCCGAGTTTGGAGCATGGTGGGGACCTTTAGGAGGCTGTCACACACATGGCCTGGGGCTGCCACACCGTCAGTGTGGGACAGGCTGCCTGCTGGGAGGTCTGGGGGCCACCTGCTCCAGGCACTCGGGACACACGTGGCCCTCCTGAGCTGCTGCAGAGAGGACTGAGGGACCCCCAGGCTGAGGGACCAAGGCCACAGTGATGGGCTGGGGTACCTGGCTGCCTCAATCCCATGGGGCTGAGCTTCCTGCCTTGCTGCTCCCTGTTTGTTCTCAGTGTGGGGCCTGGGGAGCAGAGCTGGCAGGAGGGGGAGGACACATATATAGACATTAGATGGATGTTGGGGAGAGGTTTTTCACCCAGAGGGTGGTTGAACACTGGAAGCACTTCCAGGCTCATCAGAGAAGTGGTCCCATGGCTACCAGAGCTCCAGTATATTGGACAATGTTTTCAGGCCCAGGGTGTGACTCATGGGGTATCCTGCACAGGGCCAGGAGTTGAACTCAATGATCCTGATGGGTCCCTTCCAACTCAGCCTGTTCTATGGTTCTGTGACATTATTTATGAAACAAAACTAAAACCAGCAACTTTGAGAGTGATTTTAACCTCCTCCCCTGGCAGGGAGCTGAGGTCCCAGCCCTGCAGCATCTCTTTGTCCCAGCGCCCTGGCTGCTGGCCTGGGAGGAGCAGGAGGCCCATGGGATCCAGACAGACTCAGTCAGTGGGGTCTCCCCAAAGCATTGAGTCTGTCTGTGAAAAGCAAAGCTGTGGGGAGGAGAGGGGTTGAAATCCTTCTGTGCTCACAAGCATCTTTCCCAGGTGGTCACTAGGGGTGTGGGGTGATGCTGTGGGGCAAGGGGCTGACAGGCAGCTGGGCTGGGCAGGCTGAGGTGACAGGACAAGGTGTTGCTGTGGGACAGTTGTAGGAGGCTGAGGAGAGGTTACAATCTGTGGGAAACTCCTGGCTGGTTCCTAAGCAGGTCATTCCTGGTTCCAGCAGGAATTCCCTGGTGATGGCCAGTGCTGCCTGTGGCCCTGTCACCCCACACACTGCAGCTCTGTGCACCCCAGCTCTGTCCCCTGCCCTGCCCTCCCCGAGACGGGAGGTGCTGGGGGCCTTCATCCTGCCCCCAGGCAAACCAAACTAATCCTGTTTGGTAAACCACCACAAAGTGCAGTCCAAAGCAAGCAGGAGCTGCCTCCTTCTGCCTCGAGCACTAAAGGCTCCTCCCGGTGACGTCTGGTTTGTCCCGCTGTTATCTCCTCCTCCTGCAGCCCGCGGCAGTGGCCAGCTCACAGCTGCTGGATAAGGACGCTCCGAAGGTTGCTGAGATTAGGGCAGCTGGCTCAGCCTCCCCTCCCTGTGCTGTGCCAGGCTCCGGGCAGCGGGACAGCCCGGGTACGTGTGTGCCCGGGTATGTGTGTGCCCTGTGTGCCCGGGTATGTGTGTGCCCGGGTACCTGTGTGCTCTGGTACCTGTGTGCCCTGGTACCTGTGTGTGCCCGGGTACCCGTGTGCCCTGGTACCGGTGTGCCCGGGTACCGGTATGCCCTGCCAGCCCGGGTACCCGTGTGTGCCCTGTGTGCCCGGGTACCGGTGTGCCCTGGCAGGAGCAGCCGCATCCTCCCTCCCCTGTGTCCTGCGCGCTCATTGCGGTGCCTTGCAGAGCTGGCTGCTCTTGGGGAAGGGGCTTCGGTGTCCCTGTGCTGGCCCTGGCACAGAAGCTGTGACCCCGAGCACTGCCGGGGGCAGCTCCTGGGTAGGAGGAGAGGGAAGGAGGGGAAAGGGCGAGGAGAGAGGAGGCAGCAGCAGTGAGGTTCACTCACCGTATCGGCAGCGGTACTGGCAGACACCGTTTTTCCCCCCGAGCAGTTCCAAGAAGGAGTCGAAGTAGCTGTTGACCGCTTCAAAGCCATCCCGGATGGTGTCGATGCCCCAGTCGGAATAGGATGGCGCTGCCTGCGAGTCCTGGTGCCCGGGGCTGTCGGGCGCTGCCTCCTCGGAGCTGTGGCCCGGGCGCAGGCTGAGGCACAGGAGCGCTGCCCCCAGCAGCAGCCGCATGCTCAGGGCCGGGGCAGAGGGGCAGCAGCGGCGGGGATGAGCTGCTCCGGGCAGGAGGCAGCGGCACCAGCTCTGCCTGGACTTTAAACGCTGCCCGGGGAGCCGGCCTGAGGTCACGGCAGCCGGGGTGCAAAGTGCAGCGCCGAGATACGGAGCGGGTTCAGCTCCCTGAGCTGGGAGTTTGCACAATCCCGCCGGGACACGCTCGGTCCCCATGGCTGCAGCTCCCCCGGGGGACCCTCCCTCACCCCTGAGCGGGGTCTGTCCCCCCAGGGCCCTGCACTCCCTCCCCGGCCTGTGGGACATGAGGAGTACCTCTCTGTCCAAAATTTCTGCTGCTCAGGCAGGCTGAGGAGCACCCCTTGCCTTTTTCCCAGGCCTCCTGGGCACATGGAGGGGAGGGATGAGAGCTTCACCCAGCCTGGCTGCTGGGTGTGCTGCTCCTAGCAAATCCCAAGGGCCCACAGAGCTTCTGAGGGGTTGATCCAGCAGCTTGGAGAAGTTTGGGACAAACACTACATTCAGGGCATGCCTTGGCATCACTCCAGTTCCAGGATCAGTGTGGCAGGTGAGTACTGCCTTTGGTGTGGCTGATGCTATAGGGCTGGTTGTTACAGCTCCTGTGTAAGGTAAATTAAACCTGTAAAGGTTGTGACCAGGAGGAAAGGGTGGCACTGAGACCTGAGCCAGGGAAGGGGTTGTGGGCCAGCTGCAGCTCCTGGCTCTGGAGTGGGACAGGCCTGCCTGGACCCAGGGGCCTGCTCAGCTGGTGGAGGGTTCAAAGCTGCTCATTATACAGAAAGCAACCAAGTGAAAACCAACAGCAAAAGACAAATCAAACCACTCACGAAGAACTGAGAAGGGAAATGGTGTGGGAGGGTTGTGGCTGCTCTTAGGAAGCTTTTTAGATGTGCCCCAGCACAGAACTGCCTCTCAGGAGAGCTAGGCTGCAGGCATTTCAAACACAAATACAAATTCTGGCATTTTATTGCTTTGCAGGAGATTGCAGTTTCTGAAGGGCCAGAGCTCCACAGTACTGCCTGTGTCTCTGCACATGGCCCTGGGTGAAGAGCTCCAGACATGAGATAAGGAGGAGGAACCACAGCCAAGTCTTGGTTTCTTAGGTAAGTCAGAGAAGAGGGGAAGGGAGCACACAAGCTGGTTAGTGCCTCTGCTGTGCAATGGTGTGGAGCCAGAGGCAGCTGCTGCCTGCTTGTTCCATCTGTTCTGAGGCCCAGTCTGCCAGGGCTGACTTTTGGGTGAGGGGACATTTAGGAGTGCAGGAGCTCCCAGGGGAACCTCAGACCAGCTTTGCCTTTGGGGAGATAAACCCAGATGCAGAGAACACTGGGAAAGGGCAGCTGGGAATCAGCAGATCCCTGCCTCGAGTAAGCCTTTTGTGACATCTGTGTCACCCCTGGCCCGTGGCAGAGGGGGTGCTGGGGAAGTGAGGCCTTCCCTGCAGGGGCACTGGAGAGCTTGGGCTTCTCCTGCTGTTCAGACCATGCTGGGGACTGCTCTGTCAGTCGTGGGTGGAAATGGCCCCTGGAATTTGTTGCCACAGCCCCAGGGCAGGGCAAACTGGATCCAAGAGTCCCACGCTGTGTCCTGCAGTGAGTGGAGCCTTTGGTGTCTCTGCTGGTTCAGTCCCTGCCCTGCCTGACACTCCACAGTCCCAGTGCTCCCAGCCTTTGCCAACAGCCTGGCAGAAATTAATGTAAAAAAGAGCAAACCAGCTATTGGGGACTAGCTTGGAAATGTGTAAGAGCCTCTGGGTGTCTGTGCCTGGTGTCCTGTTTTATGCAGAGCCTTTTAGGGTTGTTCTGGAGGCAGTTCCAGAACACAGATTTCTTTGTCATCCCCTGGTCCCTGCTGACTGATCCAAGGCGAAGAGAGAGGGGAAAAATGCTGGCAGGACTGCAGAGGAGGCAAAGCACAGGGAATGTGGCATGAGCAGGGCATGCAGCCTGGAGCTGGTGGCTCTGGAGCTCTCAGGCTGTTTGCAAAATCAATTGGAATTGGGAAAGCCGAGCAGGGCGGGGAGGGAGCAGCTGGCAGAGAGCAGAGCCTGAGGAAAGAGGAGTCAGAAACTTTCCTGTTAGTTTGTCACTGGTCTCGAAGTAAAGGTTGGTAAGTAAAAAGCAGTTTAACTGCTTTTCCAAAACGTGGCAGCCCCTTTGCCCTGCCCCGGGGATGAGCCGCTCTCCTTCCTTCCTTCTGCTTCCTTCCTTCCCTCCCCGAGCCAATCTCCTGAGAGCTTTTCAGTCCAGCTGCAAATATCTCGGTTGCACCCAGACTGCAAGATCTGAAGAGCAGGAAAAATGTGGGATTGGGTAAAAGTGACCTCCAGTTTTCCCTCGGGGCGTGGCTCAGCAGCTGCAGCAGCGAGGAGCTGTGGATGTGCACAGGGGGACCCCGCAGGTTTCTGCCCTGCCTTTGACCCACTGCAGTCACAAAAACCCCTTCCCTGCGCCAGCTTTTCTCTCTCTGAAGATTTAAGGGGTGCAGATGCTTTTGGCCACGGTGGTGAACTCTGACAGCTGCTTCCTGAGCCTGGTGCTGACCTCGGGACAGGCGGCTCCTGCCTGCGTGCATTCATTCCTGCCTCCGTAATGCTTAAATATAGCGCGGCCGGGCCGCGGTGAGTCAGCGCTCCCGGGACACTGCGGGCTCCTGGCAGCGATCCCGGGACACTGCGGGCTCCTGGCAGCGCCCCTGGGCTCCGAGGGAGAGGGGACTGCACCCGCCCTGTCCCTGTGTCCCTGTGGCAATGAGCCCCATCCCAGATGGAGCTGGAAAAGCCCTCTTGGCTCCGCATCAGGAGCCGAGCTGCAGCTCCTGTGCTGCATTCCTGTGCTGCATTCCTCCTTCCCTGCACCTCTGGCTGTGCCCGAGTCCTGCCCGTGCCGCTCTGCTGGGGGCGACATGGGATACAGGGACCGAGCTCCTTTTCCACCGGCTTTGGCTGGCTCGGGGAGCTGCTGGTGGGTGTTTATCAGAGGGAAGAGGCAGCTGGTGGCTCAGGTTAGTGGGTGATCCGTGGCTGCTCCAAAGCCCAGATGAGTCACTGATGATGGGGAGGAGAGCTGCGGGCCGATGGTGAAATCCCCGAGTGCTCGGAGCCAGGTCAGAGTCCGGCAGCCGGGAGAGGGTGGGTGGGGTGGTTCAGGACCCCCTCCCTAACGGGGCCGAGCTCAGGTGCGTGGGCAGGTCCAGCCCCTCCGGGAGGCCCTGGGCAGGTCCCTGGTGCTGCCTTCCCCCAGCTGTAGGAGAGGGTTCTGCCCCTGGGCTCAGGTGAGACCCCACCTGCAGAGCTGCCCCAGCCCTGGGCCCAGCACTGGAGGGACCTGGAGCTGCTGCAGAGAGCCCAGGGCAGGCACCAGGATGGGCAGAGGGATGGAGCAGCTCTGCTGGGAGAGCTGGGATTGTTCAGCCTAGAAAAGAGAAAACTGCAGAGACCTCAGACCCCCTTCTAGTGCCTAAAGGGGCTCCAAGAGAGCTGGAGTGACAGGACAAGGGAGAAGGGCATCAAACTGACAGAGGGCAGAGATAGATGGGGATATTGGGAAGAAATTCTGCATTGTGAGGGTGGTGAGGCCCTGAGGAGGCTGCCCACAAGAGCTGTGGCTGCCCCTGGATCCCTGGAAGTGTCCCAGGCTAGGCTGGACAAGGTCTGGGATAGTGGAAGGCATCCCTCCCCATGGCAGGGAGTGGAACTGGATGAGTGTTAAGTACCTTCCAACCCAAACCATTCTGGGACTCTATGATGCTGTCAGACCCTTTCCTTTCTCTTCATCTTCTCCTGCCCCGTGACATTGACAGGCCTTTTTCCCTATCTCTGACCTTACCCTGCCTGTTCAGCTGCAGCTGCTGGAGCCCTCACCCTTGCTGGGCTCCTCCCATGCTGGTGACCCCCATGGTCACCCTTCAGCTGCAGCTGTGCCACCAGAGCCCCAGCTGGGATGGTGGGAGGTCACTGGCTGGGGTGGGACAGGGCTGATCCAGAGCCCTTCATTGCTCCCAGGCCTGTCTTGGCAGGGGCAGGGCAGCAGCTCAGCAGCACTGGGTGTCTGGGCATGAAACTCCATCACCCTTCCAAAATCAAACAGTGCTGCTGCTCTTCAGGCTTATTGCAAATGTGGGCTCCCATCAGCTGTGCTGGGGCAGTGCCCCCCTACCTGTGAGCCAAGAGCCCCATGGGCAGCACACAGGCTCCATTGCTCAGGAAAAGGATCCAGCCCCCTCAGCAGCCCCTGCTGTGCTTTCTGCAGGTTCCTGATGATGGGAATTAGCATGAGCTCCACTGCTCTGCAGGGTGAAGCCCAGGGATGGCTGTGGTGCACAGACCCCAGAGGTTTAGGTCATGGAAGAGGCCAGCCTGACCTTCCCACCTGTGAGTTCATTGTGCTGTTGGAGTCTCTGGTGCTTTCTTCCCCTCCCTAGAACCATTCCAGGCTAAGTGGTTGTTTGATCTTCACAAAATAGATTTGCCACCCCTGAAAAGGGACCCTCAGCAGGTGACCCTGCTTTCAGCCCAGCTTTATCTGCCCTCCCCTCTTGCAGCCCTTTAGTGCTGTGTGTTCCCGGTGGAGACACAAAGTTTAGGGTTGAACAGAAATTTGGGGTAGGAGCAGCTCCTGCACCTGCCCAGTGAGATGGTGAAGGGAAACAGAGGAGCTTGGTTTCCACAAATGGTGATAAAATTCTGGTGATAAACCTCTGTGTGATCAGATTTATAGCAGCCACATAGGAGGACAGTTGGATGTGGAGGATTTCTCACTGCTAATGGCAGTGGCTTTTATTTTAAGCCTGTTCACTTTTTTTTTTTTACATTAAAAATTTTATTACAAAAAAATGTAACAGTAAGGCAGTTGTCAGTCACTGTGAGCCCAGACAGTTTTCAATCATGTTTAATACAAAACTAGATTCACACAGGAGCCACACTGGGGATCCAAAAGCCCTCTGAGAAATGATGGGATAAGGCAGAAGCACCAGCACCAGTGTAATCCCTTACACAGTCAATGTTGGAGGCATGGACACCACTGCAGTGGAGGGAGAGGAAACAGAGATTGTCTGCAGTTTAAAAATCTAAGCCAACCCTGTTGTCATAATCTGGAACATTCCTGATGTGTCCCAGCAGACTGGAGATTTCATTTTGAGAGATTTTTTTTTCCTTTAACCAAGTAAAATTTTTCTACTGTCGAAAGTAGAAAATTCTTTCCTGAAGAATTATCTGTGAATGGTTCACTGCTTTAAAAAGTCGTGCAGCAGAACATTTGTACTCCCCAAGCAGTGCCTGGGACTGATGCTGTTTAACACTGGAGTACTCACTGGTATTGAGGTGAGGAACTGCTGAACAAAATTCTCCAACTCTGGTTTTTCTCATGCTTTGGTGACTGTTGAACAAAGATGGGACAGCAAGAGCAAATCAGGTGCTTTCCACACCAGTTCCTGATGGCAATACAAGGGATTTTGTTTTGTGCTCCTTTACTAGGTAGGACTGGCTTTCCTACAAGCATTTCTGGATGCCCCAAAGGCAGAATTCCCAACTGTTCCCACTGTTCATTGTCCCCTTTCACCTGCAGGGACGTGGTGGGAAGTACCTGCAGCCATGGTTACCTTTTTGGAGCTCAATAAACTAAGAGATGGGAAAGAGAAAAGAGAGAACCATGGAAAGGAAGAGAGACAGATAAAACAGTGAGAAAACTCAGGTAGGCACAAATCTTATGGGTTTGGGGTTTTTTACATTATTACAATTTAGTGCTCAAAGATCAGCTCTGCTAATGCAGTTCTGGGTGAATTTCAGATCAGCTCCTGCTCTTGGTGAATGAGCAGTGCAGATGTGAGGTGGGACTGTGCAGACTTTGTGTTCTCACTTTATGGATGGACCTTGTTTCCAGCTGCCAAAGCCAGGCAAAGTTCAGGAAGGTGCAGGGCTAAGGAGGGGCAGATCTGTGGGTCCCACTGCTACCAGGCTCAGTAGAAATTTAACAATTATTTTCCAGCAAAGACCTTCTGAAAGTATGCAGTTCCTCCAACTATAGTACCTTAAACTGCATTCCCAGTAATCCAGAGGTATTTCTAGCACATTTAACAATAGGTTTTGTACATTTTGGCTCAACTGTCAAGATTTTATTGAGGCAGAAAATTCAATTAACCAAAATTGGAATTTTACCCTTGGTAAAGACTTCAGGCTTGACCCCTAAATCAGTAAAATCATCATCATCCAGAAAATTGGACTGTTCAGGTAGAGGCAGGTGCAGTTTCCTTTGATTTTTGTCCTCATGCTAGTGAGATATTTGGATATTTTGCTAAAAATCCTCCTGTGGAAGGGAAAGGGTTGAGGAAAGTGAGCCTGCATCTAAAAAAGGTTCAGGACTATAAATAGGTCGAGGGTTTCTCCTGAAACCTCAAGAGCTGGGAGGAGGATGAGGGCAGGGAGCATTCTGTGAGGACTCTGTGTTACCTCAGCACCTGAAGTCTCAGAACCAATTTGAAATTCCAGTGTCCTAAGGCACGACAATTTTGATTAATGAAGGTGGGAACATCCCCATCCCCACTGCCCGAGGAGCAGAGGGAAGAGCTGGCTGCCAGGACAGAACAAAAGCAGCATTTGTTCTTGAGGACAAACATTGCAGAAGAGGAGGGGAGATGGGCTGTGGGTGTTCCCAGGCTGCTCTGACACTGGGGAAGCATCCTGACTCTGCCTGTGGAACTGCTGTCATGTGGTCACGATTCAGAGCCAAATTCTACACACAGGCTGAGAAGGAAGACAAGTTTAAAAAGTGGGGCTTTTGTGGAAGTGGAAAACCAGGCTAAAACATGCTAATAGCCTGTTTTCCAGCAAAGTAAGCCTGCAGTGGTCAGGCACTCTAGGAAAGCAAAGAGTCAAGTGTGTGGGAATTGAGGAATAGGAAAGGGTTTCATTCAGCATTCCTCAGAGGGAGCCCCCCAGGCAATGATCCTGCCCTAAGCCTGGCAGGTGTGAGGAGGACTCCAGCCAACCCCTGGCTGCCCACACTGCTCAGAGGGATGATGGTGACAGGAACACCACACACAACACCACTGTAAGTTGTGGCCCTCATCTGTATTTATCTGTATTTTGTCCTTTTTTTTTGTTTGTTTCAGTAACACTTGTCAGCCTCGGTATTTTCTGTCGATAAACCTTGGGGGGGATTTGGAGGGAACCAAAAGCACGTTTGTCCTGTCCACAGCTGAGCTGGGTGAACCTGGAGTGGAGTGTTTGTTAGTCAGTTGTAAACTGGCAGGAGGGTGCAGCTGCACACCCTGAGTGCTCGGGAGCCCGGGCTGCCTCATTCCAGCTCCGATAACGTGCACGGCCGGCGGAACTCCTGCCCCCGCTCGTGGAGCCACTTATTGGAGACTGCAAAGACACAAAGGGACTGCATCACTGCACAGCTCAGCTCCTCTGCTGCTAAATGTGCTCTAGGCCAGCTTCTGCTTAAGCACAGGGTTATTTTAATTCTCTAAAGGGTTTTCATCACACAATCGTTTGGGTTGGAAGGGGCTTTAAAAGACTTTCTCATTCCAACCCCACTGCCATGCATGAATCTGTGAAGTTAGTCTAAGTAAAAAAACCACCCAACCAAAAACCCTTCCAGTATAGCTGCAAAGCTACAAAAACTCTTAAAGTAGACATGGCTACAGAAACTCTTAAAGTAGACATGGCTACAAAAACTCTTAAAGTAGAGATAGTATTCATTTCCTTTCTACACATAATGAAATCTGCTACTATATAAAATATATTTAACACGTAGAGAGATATGAGGTAGAAAAAGTATATTAAATATATTTCTTTACAAAGAATGTAATTTCTGAAGTCCAAAGGAAAAATAAAGCCAAGCCACCCCCCAGCAGAGCCCAGACTCAGGTCAGAGGCAGGTACTCACCCCATTTATTCCCCACTAGCACCGGGCAGGCCGCGTGCCGCGTGCTGTAATCGCCCTCTCCGCTCGGGAAGAGATTGTACCAGAACACAGCTGTACCCTGGGAATGGCAGGGGGACACTCAGTGTGTGTGATACAGGGCACAGGGCTGTCAGAGATTGTACCAGAACACAGCTGTACCCTGGGAATGGCAGGGACACTCAGCCCTGTGCCCTGGGAATGGCAGGGACACTCAGTGTGTGTGATACAGAGCACAGGGCTGTACCCTGGGAATGGCAGGGGGACACTCAGTGTGTGTGATACAGAGCACAGGGCTGTCATAGAGATTGTACCAGAGCACAGCTGTACCCTGGGAATGGCAGGGGGGACACTCAGTGTGTGTGATACAGAGCACAGCTGTACCCTGGGAATGGCAGGGGGGACACTCAGTGTGTGTGATACAGAGCACAGCTGTACCCTGGGAATGGCAGGGGGGACACTCAGTGTGTGTGATACAGAGCACAGCTGTACCCTGGGAATGGCAGGGGGACACTCAGTGTGTGTGATACAGAGCACAGGGCTGTCATAGAGATTGTACCAGAACACAGCTGTACCCTGGGAATGGCAGGGGGACACTCAGTGTGTGTGATACAGAGCACAGGGCTGTCATAGAGATTGTACCAGAACACAGCTGTACCCTGGGAATGGCAGGGGGACACTCAGTGTGTGTGATACAGAGCACAGGGCTGTCATAGAGATTGTACCAGAGCACAGCTGTACCCTGGGAATGGCAGGGACACTCAGCCCTGTACCCTGGGAATGGCAGGGACACTCAGCCCTGTGCTCTGTACCACACACACTAAGGCAAAGGTAGGTGCATTTCTGTTTCAGAGGCTCCTTTTAAACTGAAGGCTCTTTTCCATATTCTTATTTTTAGGAAAAAGTCTCCTTTAACTTATTGTATGTCTGTATAATTGGCCCTTAATTTTTTTTTTAAATCCTAAGCCATTTTCATTCAACTCCTGACCAGTTTAAGAAAGCCAAGATTATTTACTAAAGCTGGGCAGCAGGCCAGCAAAGGCAAACCTTGCATGAGGGGAAAAAACTGACAGGAGAATTTCCTACAGATGCCTCAAGACTAAGTCAACTCACAGATCTGAGTATTTTCAAGATGTGTTTTGAAGTATTTAGGTGTTTTGCATTTGCATCCACACATGGAATAGCAGGGCCCTTGGAATCACCAGCACAGCTCCAGTTTCTGCACTTATGGAAAATCACAGCACTGTTCTGACAGCACAGAGGTGCTTACAGTTATTTTATAGGTTCATTTTCACACTCTGTTCTGTGTGGGTAGTGGGGAGGAGTGGATTTATCTGCTGGATGAATCCTGCTCACCTTTCTCGGCCAAACGCTGGCTCCCACTTCAGGGAAGACCGTGGCTCCCCCTGCTGACACATCACTCATCTGAACAGGTGGGGAAGGACAGGTGAGTTCAGGCTGAGAAAATCTCACTTTTTAGTGAAAGTGAAGTTCAGTTTTGACATAAATCCCTTAAGAAGGCCAAACCCCCTCTGTTCCCAGTGCAGTCCCAGCCTTGTCCCTCCCACTCGAGTGTTAAGGCAGTGAACATGCTGTAAACACTGATGCAGATACAAAAATAAACAGGCAGGCAAATAATTTAAGCTAATGCTCAAATTTGGGGGGAAAATCCTTCTTAAGACACACGGAAGAACCACAAAGTCTGGGTAAGAAGACCCCCCATATGTATTACCCCAAAGTTAGTGACTCCTTCACTTGCAAGTCCCTTCAATAAAAAAGAATGAAAGAAAAGCAGAATGAAATCATTCCATGGTATAGAATATGCAGTGACAGATGGCAGAAATGTATCACTTACATAAAACAACCAAGTAGCAATTCTGTTGCCTGTTCCCAATTCTTTAAAGGCATCTGGCTCATCTTTCTGTGAACAAAAGCAGGCAGATTCCATCAGCATTTCTTTTTGGTTGCTGAGAGCAGCCAATGACACACAGCTGCTGAGCCAGCAGCACAGAACAGACTCATGCAGAAGAATTAATCCAACCCTCGAATTGGAAGGAGGGGAGGAATGCAATAGGAGTGAATCTATCAATTTAAATAAACCAGGCACTTTGAAATTCTGTAGGACAAGGAGGGAGGGCATTAAGCCCAGATTTCTAATGGGTAACAACAACTGTGCTGTCTGAGGCTGAGGCTATAAATCCTCCTCACAGCAAACTGAATTATTTAATTACACTCATCCCCCTTGTCCTTGGCAGCAGGCAGGGCAGCTCTCAGTGCCAGGGTCAGCTGGGACACCTCCTTGCCACACTCCACTCTGGATTCCAGCTGGGAAGCAGGGAGGAAGCCTCAGTGACAAACCAGGCAACTAAGAAGTGTCCAGCACTCCACTTACAAGAATGAACCCCATTTTGATGAGTTTTGATACCAACTTCTCTCACACCTCTGTTTCTAAACCCACCCCCTGTGACCACAGTTTGTGTGCACTGAAATTCCAGCAATTGTTACTCCTGGAAACAACCCCAGTGTTTCCAAACAAAACCTGTTAATCACTTGCAATGCCTTGGAGCAGGTGCTTACAGAGCAGAGATCCTGATTCAGAATTGGTGGCTGGGACTGGCAGGGTTAAGGTTAATCTGAAGGGGTTAAACCACACAGAATTATGCCCAGTAAATAACCAACTGAATTTCAGCAGTCTGCAATTTAAGCTGGAATAAAACAGGTGGGGAATTTAAATCCAATTTAAAAATTAAGGACAGTGAGATAAGACTTCTTCCAGTTGTCAGGAGTCTGCTGGCACTCAGCTTACAGGCAGCAACCTCCACAGCTTCAGCTGGTGGTTTAGAGGGCTTTCTCCATGGACATGGATTAGCAAAGTGGAAGAGCTACAAAATTTAATAGACATGGAAGAACAGAGAGTGTGCCCAGCCCAGAGGCCCAGGCTTCACCAGGTCTAGCTCTCCTCCAGCTCTTTACTTGCCCGTGCAAAGTCAAAGTGGGGCTCATACTGTCCTCCCACTCCATAATTTGCCACCTGAAAAAGAGAAACACAGGGCTTGTGAAGAAGAAAGAGTGAAGACAAAGCAGGACTTACCCTTCCAAAATCAAAATGAGGCTCATACTGGCCTCCTACGCCGTAGTTGGCTACCTACAGTGGGAGGAGAAGCACAGGATCTAGTAAATCAGTCTTTAGCCAGGCAAGAGTTTGGCTGTCAGCTACAGCCTTTGCAGAGATAAAGTTTAAACACCAAGCCCCAGGAAATGTCAAGCCTCTGTCAGCAGCAGGAGCACATCCAAGAGTGGCCTGCAGGATGCTCCAGGTAAGAATCTGCTGCTTCCCAGGGCAGAAAAGCATTTTTCTTCTACAGAAAACTTTTCAGCCTGTCTCTAAAACGGTGTCACAGTGCTTTTACATCATCACATTGAAGCCACTTTTTTGACCTGAATTTGACTGTGTCAATAAAGAGGGTTCCCTGTCCTTCTTGCCAATTGGTTATAAAAAAAATAACATCCAAATTTCCCCCAGATCCTTGGCCATTTTATCACCAGGAACCTTGACAGAGTGGCAAGGAGCAGGTTTCAGAAGTGCTTTGTGGGTGTCCTGCTTTCTAAGTCCTCGTGCTCTGCTCACAGTCAGGGAGGCAGCTGCTCATTTAAAGGCCCCAAGCCAACAAACAAAAGCATTTCTAAATTGCACTTTACTCAAGTTACACAAACAGCCAGGGTTTCCCACATCCCAGGGACACTGGACACTCTGGTGGCCTTCCCTGAATTAAACTTTTAACTGCCTCCAACAGCAGCAAAGTTTGACCCTGTGGCCATGAAACTCAGTTTATTTGACTAAATAAAAGGAAGCAGTTTCTAAAAGGAACTACACATCCAGAGTTTCAGTTATCACTGTTTCCTTCCAGCCCCAAAAGCCATTTCACACTGAACAGCTGCTCTGCAAAGACAACTTCTTCTCCCCCTCTGTAAATAAATGAGTTTTTTGTGGCCACCTCACATGAGCAAGTGCTGAGATGGTGACTGGCACCCAGCAGCAAGGCCAGGCTGGCACTTACCTGCAGCTCCTCTGCAGTGGAGACATCGAGCCCTGTGAGGTCCTGGATCCTGGTGTTGATGCGGGACACGACCGGGCTCTCGTAGCCCGAGAGCCACGCGCTGTGGGGGACAGTTAGTGACAGCACAACACTTGCAGGCACTTGGAATGGGACATTGCTCTTTAGGACTTCTCAAGGATTTGGGGGCATGACCAGAAGTATTTTCAGGGTGTTACAAAGCTCTGAATTTAATGAATGCATTTCCTTGAAAGACCAGTTCCAGCAGGGGTTTAAGGGAGCTCTGTAAGCAAGGGCCTGAATTCCCCCACTGGGCTGAAGGAAGTGTCACAAACAGTGCTTCAAGCTGATTTTTAAACCAGGCACACACAGTTTTGCCCTTACCCCACTCCCAACAGCTCATTCAGCCCCTGGGGTGATCATTTTGAAGCAAGGTTTGGGACAGGAGCAGGTGAGTTACTGTTTCTGTCTGTGTAGCTGGAACTCAGCTCCCCACATGTCCCACACCTCCAGGCCAGCTCTCTGGGAGCTGCCCTTCCTCATCACTTCCCCCTGCAGTGCTACTAAAAATCATTCTGAAACAACCAAATCATGCATTAAATTGAACAATTACTGTCAGCACAGCCTATTATAACCCTGGTATTTAGCACATACTTCAGGTACACAATGATTTTTAAGGAGGGGGAACCCAAACTACCCCCCCCTTTTTTTTCTTTAATGTGGAAGGTCAGCCTCAGTTCCAAAAGCATCTTTCAGAATGTTTGTCTCCTACTGTGTATTAGAGTTTTTCCACAGCTGCTCATCTGATTCATCCCATGCTAGCCACTGCACCTTCATTTTACTTGGCAGCCCCCTGCACTAATATTGGTGATAATATTGATGATTTGGGGCTTGTTTTCCTCCTTTTTTTTTTTTTTGGCAGGAAAGCGGAGATAGGTATTTCTACCTTTTTTTCCAGCAGCTAACTCAGCTTTTGGGCTCAGCAATGCTTCCTGCTGGACACAAACCCCTGTGCCCAGAGCCCAGCTGGAAACTATCAGCAGCAGCATCCAGGTATTTTTACTCAAATCAACCTTCACATCTATCCTAAATTAAGTTTTAAGATTTGCATTTCAAAAAAAACCATAAATCCCCAAATACTTTGTCTGGGAGGAACAGTAGCATGACACATGACACAAGGCACTGACACAGGTTACAGAATCTCTACGAGCGTTTCTTTTAAATGACAAATGAACTATGAGATAAAAGAAATCTGATTTCTCAGGACAGACATGCACAAACACATTCCCCAGGCCCATCCACTGCTGAACACTTGTTAGTACAGGAGGTGTTACAACACAATTTCCTTTGATTTCAGGTGGCAGAAGGATGCTAAGACATGGATATGAAGCATTCACCAAACAAAAATCCCCAGAAGCAGCCATGCCACACAGCCATGGTGACCAGGTAATGCTCACAAGCAGCCCTAACCTCACATTTAAGGCACAAGAAGAGCCCCAACACACCCAGCAGCTTCACTGTAGGCCCTCTCTGCCTCTGTCCAGTCTGTTAATAAAGGAAAAAAACCCAAGAAACCCAAAGAAAGCAAAACCCAAGCATTCTTGCTCTGTTGGTTATTTAGATGGCAATGAATACTGCAGCCTTTCAGGAAGGGGAGTACTGCATGTATTTTAAAAATCAAATTAACTGCCTCCACATACAAAGAAAGCCTATGAAAGGTGGAGGAACAGGGAATTGAAAGCATATTCCAAGTGCCAGCCTGTCTGCTGGGTGCTGAGCAAAACCACAGGGAGGCCTGAGTGCTGCAGAGGTACAGGGGGATTTAACCCTGGAGGTGCCATGCAAGCTGCAGCCATGGCTTTGCCTGGCCTCAGAATATTCCAGCTGTCTCACATTCCCTCCTCTCTGCTCTCCCAGCTTGCTCCCTTGCTGATAAAGGTCTCTGCCTCATTCAAAACAATTTCTTCACCCAAAGTTGGCTTTTTTTTCCTGCCCTTGTCTATCAAAAAAAGAGAAAGACTCCCCTGGCCAGTGGTGCAGGAGATGCAGCATTAACAACCTTCAACATGCTCAGCAGTTTGTTTTCTTTTAATATTTACATACTTCCAGGTTCACTGCATTCTGTCCTATTTTTTGACCAGCTGTCACCTCTGAGTCCATGATGGGCCCCAGCAAAAAAGGGACAATTCCTGCGAAGCCACAGGCAGGGCAGGCCAAGATATCCCTGACTTAGTTACAGAAGGATTTGGTATTTCCTTAAAAAGCACCACACAACCCCCCAGTTCCCTGACCACACAAGTTTGGTGTTTTGCTGACCCACTTGGCTTTGTAAAAAGCCATCCCTGAACTGTTATAAAAAAATTTAATGCTTCCATTAGTGTGCTGAATTCACACTGGGGGGACTTTTAACAACTTTGATATGGATCACAAACAGTCAGGAATAATCATAGTGGCTCATGGAATTGAGCCATGGCTTGGCTGGGAGGGACCTTAAAGCTCATCCCATTGCACCCCTGCCATGGCAGGGACACCTCCCACTGTCCCAGGCTGCTCCAAGCCCTGTCCAGCCTGGCCTTGGGCACTGCCAGGGATGGGGACAGCCACAACATGTCCCATGTTCCTCCTTCTTCTAATTCTGCACGAGGCACCTCAGAGATTTTGAATGGCAGATGCTTCTACACAGAAATAATTTAAAGACTAAGCAGTACATTAATGAAAAACCAGAGAATTCTCTGGAGCTACTGAACACACAAGAGCACATCCCCCCCAGATCTCATCTCCTCAGCTGCACTGGTCAGTCTAGGAGAAGACATTACATCCCAACACTACTTCTGTGTAGGTCACTGGCCACAAAATACTGGGATTTGTGTTTAAAAGCTTTCTAAGCCACACTTGGTGTGCAGAAAAATACCAGCAGAGACACAACAGGGAGTGAGTAAAAGCCCAGCCTGGTATTTCTGAAGTGGAAACTTTTAGCATGACATGCTGCAAGCTCTGGCTGCCTGCTGGGAGGAGAGGGAAGGGGGAAAGGGAGTTTTTCTCTGTAAAAGCAGTGTGTGAGTGGGTGGGTTTATCCTGGTGCTGCACACACTGGCAAGGTGCCTCCCTCCACAGAGCTGCCACGTCCCACCAAGGGAACAGTAGCTCTCTCAGAGGCAGGAATGCTGTAATTTAGGAGGGCATGTGCTGGGAAGGAATGTTTGGAGGAGGAAAGCAGTCATCTATTAAAAAAACGAAGCGAGCATTTTTTGGTTTTCAGGAGCAATGATTCATCTGGAATCTGAAGCAGCTCGAGCAGCTCCAAGGGAAAGATGTTTCTGGCAGTGCAGGAGGGCAGCAGGAACAGCACAGGGCCTCCAAATCAGGCTGCTGGGGGGGCTTCTGCCTCCCACTGCAGATTTAGGTGTCAGGTTCCCTTGGGAATCCATACCCATCCTGCAAATCTGCACAGGGAGGAAAGCAAAGGCAGGGACAAGCAGGAGCTGCACACCTCAAGGCTAAATCCTACCCTCAAAAAATGGCCTTCCCCAACTTCTTGGATGTGTCCCTACAATTTTAATTCCAGTTTCCAGTGAGATATTGAATTTAAAAATTTAGAGCTCAGTAAAATGTGATTTAATTCTGAGAGTTCCTTGGGTGCACTGGAAGGAAGTCCCACATTTTTGAGCACCAAACCTCATTAAGAATTTAAGGGTTCCATTCCCCAGGCTCTATCCTGTTTTTTTTAATTGGCCTTTAATGTTGGGTGGTGCTTTGTACTATTTTTTCTGACCGTGGCATCTGCACAACCTCAGGGAATAACACTTCCTACTAATGAAAAATCACAACTCAAAATAAAAAGTTCTTTCACTAAGCCTCATCTATTTAAGTAGGGACCAATTATGCATCCCAATTTCCATCAGCAATCTGGTCACCTTCTCCAATTCCCATCATTAGCACAGCAAGTTTGACATGAGGGGATGTTCAAAAGGATGAAGGAGTTTCCTCAGTAAATACTCCAGACCTGTCTGGCACAGAGGACAAACCCCACAAGTGAATAAATTAAACCTGCCAAATATGCAGTGACAAATAACCAAGATAGAAGACATGGACAGACTTGAACATTAAACCAGAAATAAAAAATTAAATGCAACACATGTCCAACAGGAAGATGAATGTTCCTAAAGCCCTTCCATGGGGTCAGTTTTAAGGAGCAAACATGTAAGAGCTTCCCAGACAATTTCCAGAGGATTCCCATTGCCTGCACGTGCCAATGAGCACACAGACCCACGTGCTGCTAAGGTGTGAGGCATTAAAAAAAACGTTTTCAACTTGCCACTAGAGTGGCCTTAAGGCTCCAGTGGTTTTCCAGTTCTCCTGAGACTTATCATCATTCCTGAATCAGCCACCTTCCTGTGAGCCCACATTTGGAAGCACTTTTACCTTTCTGAAGCAATTCACAGCTAAATTAAAGCCCTTCAGCTCCAGGCCATTCCAAGTTCAGGGGTTTGTCAAAGCAGCTGGAAGAACCCTGAGTTTCTATTCTACCTTCCACCATTCCACCATGGAAATCCCTTAAAATCCTCCCCTAGCTTTACTGGGCAGTGCTGCCAGGAACCCCAGCAGCTCCCAGCTCTGAGCAAGTGTGGGCACTGAGGAGCAGGGGTGAGCCAGGCAGGTGCCCCATTGCACTGGGTGCCAGCAGAGCCCCACACCCGTGTTTAGTGTGTTAGTCACAGCACACAAGCCATGCTCAGCCAGAGAGGGCACTTCCACCTTGGAATGCCACCACTGACAACTAATCCCTACTTCAGCAGCCCCCGTGCTTTGTTAGGTGACAGCTCAGCTTGCTTGGGCCCCTCTCCTGGAGAGAAAGGCTGAAGAATAACGAGAGTGACACAGAACCCTTGTGCTGAAGCAGCACAGCCCCAGGACACACTTCCTCAGACAAGGAATCCCCTCCCCTTACCTCTTAGAGACTCTGTAATGTGCTGTGGTCAGTTTCCCAGTCTCAGGGTCATGAACAGTAGCACGGCTCAGCTACAAAAAGAGAAAGGACAAGGCTTACCCACCTTGCAGGCTGCTTTTGGCCAAGCCCCAGGTGTTTGAAAGGTTCCGATTGGTCCGGATGCGATGCTCGCATATTGGCAATGGTTGGAAGGGCAACACAAGCTGCAGCTGCCATGTCCAAATCACAACAAATTGGTTGGAATAATTTGGTTAGATTGTCCTTTCACTTTTTTCCTCCCTTTATTATTTTTCTCCTTTTTTAAAAATTTTGGGTTTTTTTGTTTAAAATCAAGACTTTCTACAAGTAATTTATGATGCTGAGTTTCTCAGACAATTCCTCCTCACCCAGAAGCTTTAACTCCTCCCAGAATTTTGGCTCAGTGCTGATGGCCTGTGCAGCCAATCTTTAATTACCATGGCTAAAACCAAGGGAGGGCAAGCAGGGGCAGGTGGTTTCTTTCAGATCCAGCCAATTTTGGAAAGCACTGGCTAAATTCAGCTCTTGTAGTACTTAATGGACAAGCTGAAAAGAACCAGGAGCCCGGTGGAAGCGAGCCTGTGTTCTGCCAGGTTTGTGTCAGGCAGGAGGTAAAGGAGCTCAGCTGGGAGTGTGGGATTATCTTGGACAAGGAGATGTGTGTCTGTGTGCACAGCAAGGACCTGAAGCATTTCTTACACCCATTGAGGCACTTTGAGATCTGCTTCATTTTCCAAAGAAAGGGAAGACAATTCCTGGTTGTGAGAAGGAGCAAGGGGAAAGGAATGTATAGATTAAAAACAAAACCCAGATTTTACTGAAGGTTTTGTGGCATCTTGTATTTTTCACACTGACTGCAGAGACTCGCTTGAAAAAACAGACTTGAGAAGGCGACTAAAAGGGAAAGAACAAATCAAAACACGCCCCCAGAACTTCCAGCTGAAGGAAAAGACTGAGAAACTCAGCAGCACCAGCCTGTTACAGATCTGCAGGGAATCACAAGGTGGACTGCAAGCTGTCTCTCCAGCCCAGCTGGTTTCCTGAGCATGAGCAGGACGTACACACTGAGGTTGGCAGGCCCACACCTGGGGCAGAGCTCTCTTACCTTTTGCTAATTCTGTAATGTGCCGTCTCCAAGGCTCCCGTTATGGGGTTTGAAATGGTGGCTCGCCTCAGCTGTGAAGCGAACCATCAGAAGTTGCATTACAAGCACAATCTGCAGCCCAGCACTCCGAGCACTCAGAAGCCTGGCCAGGGGACAATGCCACCACCCTGGCACCTGCCCTGCCCTGCAGGGCCACAGGGAACCAGGGCAGGCTCCAGCTTTACTAAATGAAAGGTTTCTTGTCTGGTTTTTTAAGGTTTTTTTCCACAAGTGCTGTTTCCATGTCTGTAGTAAGAATGGTTGTCTGAATAAAGCAAACTACAGCAGCTTGGATTTCTTTTGGAGTGAAATGCTCTGGGAGCAGCACAGCATGGGGACAAGTGGTGCTTTGTTACACTGTCCTGTCCCTGCATGAGGGGTTTCACAGGTAGATTCAATCCAGGCAGCACCATAAGCCACAGGTGAATAAACCATTCCTTTTCAATCCTTCCTGTACCAAAAGCAGCACTGAGCTCCCACAAACTTCTGCTTCACCCGTGGTCACATTTACACAAAGTGGGAACTCCTGCCTCAAGGCTTTCCTTTCCCTCTGCTGTGCTCCATTTACTTCATGCCTTCCCATCTGTGTTAATATTCCAACTCAGAACCTCACATGTGCCCTTTAGCTTGGTTCATGTACTGCCAGGCACTCTCCATCACTCATAACTGCAAAGGCTGGGATGCAGAGCCCAAATTTTGCAGAAGGCACAATGTCATGCCAACTCCCAAACAATCAGAAGCATTTCTCCACTGTTAAAATAAACCAACCAAGCCAAGGCCTCTCCTTACCTACAAGAAAAGATACTGGGAGCTCCCAGCACGCTGCCTCTCCTCTCCTCCCATGCAGACACAGGAAAAAACAAGGCACAAACTACAATTCCAGTGAGACTGCAGAGCTGAATAAGGAGGCTTCATCCTGCCAGCAGGGCAGAAGGCTGGGCACACATCAGCACTCTCCTCCCACAGGATGGCAGCAGCAGGAAGGAGGAGGTGACCTTTAGGTCTCCAAGAACAAAATCCTTTTGCTGCTGAGCCGTGCAAGGCCTCAGCCACAGGGAATAAGGGAGCAGTAACTGCATACAGATGCTCCTGCCATAAAGGTCTCAAGTCTTTGCCATGAGCTGAGTGTTTGACAGGAAAACAGCGACCTCAGAGCTTACAGTCACACATTGACAGTTTTCTACTCTGTCAAGTAGTGGTCTGGTCACATTCCACAGTGTGGATGCATCACTCTGCAGCAAAGGAGCTCCAACAGCTCCAGACCAGCAATGGAGGCTCTGATTTTCAGCCCTGCAGCAAAGCTGCCTGCCAGGGCAGCAGGAGGAGATGCCTCATGGGTATGTGGGGGGAAAGGCTTGCACTTCCTGCTTGCAGTTCAGAGCATTACCTCAGAGACCTCAGAACAGAATCACTGAGGCTGGAGAAACCTCCAAGATAATCAACTCCAGCCTCTGATCCCTGCCCACCTTGCCACATCCAGCCATTCCTTGGGCACCTGCAGGGATGGTGACCCTGCACCTCCCTGGACAGCCCCTACCAGAGCCTGACAAACTCTTCAGTGAAGAGATTCCTCCCAGTGTCCAACAGCTCTGCCTTCAGGGAGCTTTAAGATCCCTTCAGGCTCCCTGGGAGGCCAAGGACAGCCTGAGGCCCAGCTGCCCATGTACAACCACAGCTCTTGGCCAAGCCAACAGCTTCTCCTGCACTGAATGCCCTTATTCCCCTGGTCTCCCTCTGCTCAGCTCAGCTCAAAAGCCATTTAAGCCAAAAGCAAAGGAAAAAAGCAGGAAAATTACATTTCTATGAGTTTAAGTCTTTAGAATTGATGGAAATATAAATTAATTTAACTAACTACATCTTCAGTGTACATTTGTAGATGCAGAGTTGCACCAATTGGATACAGAACACAACTCCATCAGTTTGCTGTTTGTCCTGGACACTCCTGTTCTCTCAGACACTCGAGCTGCCCTGGATTATTCCTCTCTGAGAAACAACAACCTTTGCATCCAGTATCTCAGACAGGGTTCATGAGCCACCATCATCAATGAGAAGCCAAGACCCACCAACTATGTCCAGCTCTCTTAAAGCTCTTTTATCTGCAGGCAGCTTCCAAGCCTGGAGACAGTGATGGCCTCAAGTTTTAGCTTTTATATTCTTCAGATTCTGTGCTGCTTTAGTGTGTGGTTCTGAGCTTCATATGAGGGGATGGTGAGCTCTCTTCACAGAGTAGGGAGACAAAACAATTCCTTCTCTAGCTGGGGACCAAGGACAAATGATCCAAATCTCAGGCCCAAGAGCATTATCAACAGTGGAATGAAGAGAGAAAAACAAGCAGGATGGGGCTTCATAACCTAAAGCTGTAATTAGACAATTAACTCCAATATGCAAATGGAGCAGAACTGATCCAAGTGACAGACCCTGTGGCCAGTCATCCATTTCTGTGACCATTTTGGTTCATCTTGGGTTCATTTTGTGACCATTTTGGTTCATCCTGGGTGCAGCCCTGGCTGGGCTCTTGTGCTGCCCAAGGTGCATCCATGCAGGAGATCCTTTTAATAAATCCCTGCTTTATTTTTTAACTCTCTGGCCTCTGTTCTAGCTCAGCCTTCTCAAGGCATCAACAGCAGCCAGTCTTACACCAAACTGGAGAATATAACCATTCTTTCTTGTATATACAATAAGGTGGCATTCCTGGACCAGAGGAATGGCTGCCTTTCCGTTCCAGACTTAAAAAGAAACAAAAGCAGAAAACCAAACACAAGTCAGGAATACTCCAGTCCACTCTTGCTGGCTTGGATGAGGAGGAGAATGTTGGGAGGACATTTTCCACCTCATCCAAACCAGCAGAAACTGTTTCTGCTGGAAGAGCCTGGCAATCCTGCACTGCTGGGACCTGGCTCCAGTCACCACAGAGAATTGCCAGCCTCCTTCAAGAGCTGCAAGGTGTGAGCTCACTGCACACCCTGCCCTCCAGAGCAGGCAGCCACTCACACTCACACCCAGCACAGGAGTTATTGCAGGTTCCAGAGGCAGGCAAGGGGGAGCACTTACCCTGGGCTTGGCCAGCTCCTTCACGGTCTCGATCTCCTCGTCGGAGATGATGTCCAGGAAGCGAACGATGCGGGGCTTGTCCCACTCGTCCTCCTGCTTGACAGGGCCCAGGATGTACCTGGGGTTCCTGTTCCCGTCGTAGTAGCGGCAGAAGAGCCTCTTCTGTCTGCGGGGAGTCTGCAGGGAGCACAGCAAGGGCTCTCATTCAACTGCTGCTGCCACATGGCACAGAGAAAAGCAAGGCACAGTTCTTCCCAAGGATTTCTGAGATTCACATTCTCTGAACCTCAGAGAAAGAAAACACAATTCTTATCACTTGCTGTGCCCGTGCTGTGCCAAAGTAGAATGCAATGTGGAGATTGTTTATCCAAAGTGAGGATGTTTTGTTTCCTTGGCCCATCAGGGTCAGCTGTGTGTGTGTGTGGGGACTGTTGGGTGACAGTCATGGATTCAGAGCAGTGTGTGCAGGTGTGAGCAGAGTGAGTGCTTGGCAGATTCAGTTTAGATTAAATGTATATAGTGTAGTATAATTAAGTAATTAATTAGCCTTCTGAGATCAGTGGAGTCAGATGCATCATTCTCTCCTCTGATTTACAATAAACTGCCACAGGACATTGGTATGTCCAAGGGCAGAACACATCCTGGACACACAATCAATTCACTCTCCCCACCTCCTTATGTGACAGGTTAAGAAGATGATTTCAGTTTGAGAGGTCAGTGCTGTCTGCACTTTCATGTTGCTGTACAATACTTCAGCAAGAATTACTTTACACAACCCTACTAAGATAATTTCATCACTAAAAACCCACCCCAGCTGAGCCAGCTTCTCTGCCCATCTAGAATGAAAATATTCATTATAGTCTCACAGAGGTCTGGTGCTGTGCTAAAGAACTGACTGCAAACTACTCAAACCACCCTATTTAATTCTGTCTGTAACTCTGGACTTCCAGCATCCTTATTCAATTAATTACACGGATGGAGCACTTCCAAGACAGCCAGCAGTGCCTGAGGCAGTGTTACTTTCTGTCTACTGAACAGGCCAAAGGGGGCAGAAATCCAACACAAGATCCTCAGCTCTGCACACTCATCCAGCTGCTCTAACAACTTCCTTCCTTGCACACCACACACAAATTCCTGACATTGTTTGGTTTCAAACATTTGAGAACAGTCTACTCCACTTTACCATTTTGAGCCCCTCCCCACGGCACAGCATTTCGTACTTCCTTCTCTCAGGCAGGTAATCCTTTTTCTTAACCTCAGTTTCCTTCTCCTGCTCTTCTGAATCCGTGCTGGACTTGTTTGCCTCTTTTTCTTTAGCCATGATGTACTCAAAGTATTTCATGTTCCCGTTTGCTCTTTGATGTTCAGGATCTATGGACAGAGAAACAGACGGGGATCACTGGCAGGGTTCCAGCCCCTGAGGAATCATCCAGAAGTGCTTATTCACAGAAAGCAAAAGGAAACAGATGCACACCACTGCTTCTCCAACCTCACTGCACATGGGGGTCCCAGCACTGAGCAAAAGGGTTTGGCCACTCCAGCCCAGCCCACTTCAGAGGGAGAGACAAGGGAATGGGACTGGGAGAGAGCTGGCACAGCATCACTGACTGAAAACCTGAAAATACCCTGGTGGGATTTCAGATTTCTGGTGACAAAGCTCTTTAACTTACAGAATTAGCTTCAGTTCTTTAATAAGTGGCTCTTGCTATGTTAGGGTTAGTTCTGAGCTTCCCAGAGCATCCATTACACAGTCAGTCAGTGGAGTATTCACAGGAGAATAAATGCTTTCATTTTTCATGAAGTGGACTCTTATCTCACTGTCCTGTATTCTGTATTTCTTGTTTTTACAAGTCTTTCATCTTCAGCATGCTGAATTTGTATTTAAACCATCTGCAGAGATGTCAGCATCACCAATTTAGTTTCAATGTCATTAATTTTGGTTTTGCCTCTACCTAAGGGGAAGCAATCTCAACCCAGGAAAGCAAAACGTAGGGAGAGAAGCAGATTTCAGACAGGTAAAGGGACAGAAGTCAGGAAAACCCTTCAGTCCAAAGGATCAAATCCCCATCCAAAATGTAAAACCACCCTTTACAAATGCATATAGGAGTCAGATCCCAGGCAAGGCTACAGTGCCAGGACAAAGCCAGGCTGAGCTGTGTCCCTGTGCCCCTCACCCAGCTCCAGGAGGCGCCTGGTGAGTGCCATGGCCTTGGCCAGGTCCCCCTGCTGGTACACAGCATAGCTCAGGTAGTCCAGGATGTAGACTTTGTCTGCAGAGGACACTTCTCCCTCATCCAGCTGCTTCAGGGCTTGCTCCATCCACAGCTCTGTGTGGTAGTAGTCAGCCTCTGTGTAGGCAATCTTGCCCAGCTCAAAGCAATCTTCAGCTGTTAGGAAGGATTTGTGCTTCACACCTGGGTATTTAGAGCAAAACAAAAGAGTTTACACGGGGTTCCAGACCTGTGCTCTGAGAAACATTTGAGTTATTTCTCATTCCTCACAGCAGGGTTTTATTTCTGTTCTCCCACAGCTCCCTTCTGCAGTAGCTTTTTGCCTGAAGTCTCTAAAGCCTGTAAATCCCTGGCACACAAGCACTCAGATGCAGCTTTCCACTGCCAGAATACCAGGGAACAGCTAAATGTCTCTACCACTAGTGAAAAATCAAATTAAACAAACCTTCCTTCCTCAAAACCCCAACCACTTCCAGCAAGAGAAAAAAAAAAAAGCCAAATTTGAAGTTTCAGAACTCTGTTTTCAAGGACATCACATTATCACTTTCAAAATGTTACTGAACCACGACTTGTTAGTGACAGCTTGGTGGGGGAGGAGAAGGAAAACATCAGGGAGTAAATTCCCAGCTGCTTGGGATTTTTTTCAAGTCAGTCATTTTTAGAAACATTTTAAGTGACCTCTGAAAGATTAAAGCACTAGTAGGCAAATTACAGATTCCTATTTTTGCCTCTAGAAATACAGGCCCTATGAAAAACCAAATTTTATCTTGTAAAAGGGAAACAGGACCTGCCAGTGTTTTATAACAGCTAGAATTACATCCCTGATTACATCTTAACCCATTCTGAGTTTCTCACAGCAGCTCTGCAGTGCTCAGAGGGGGCAGCTGTCCTGCTGCCCATTCCTGTGATGGACAGCAACTGCAGCTTCCTGAGCCTGAACCTGCAAACCCCCCAAGGACACAATAATGTGGCAGTAGCTGAGATTCTGGACCAAAAGAAATTCCCTGGGAATGAAGAAAGGGAGCACAAACAAGTGACCACATGGGAAGTTCTCTTCTGGAGCTCTCCAGAGTCCAAGCTATTCTTTTTTATCTTCCAGAATTTCCAGGTTCTGCCAGTACAGCTCATTGCACACAGTCTGGACAGCTCACTGCTTCAAAAGCAGCAAAACCTCCCCTTGTATTTCTGTGCTGGTTGAAGAAAACAGCAATGAGCTGCTCACTGCATCAGGAGGAATCTGCAGGTCCTTGAGCAGGTCTTGAACCAAAGCCAAAAGCAAGGTTATACATCATAACACATAAAGCCAATTACTCTTAATTTTATTAGGCATCTGACCACAATGAGCACTTGCAAAAACAAGATGGATTGTACAGAGCTGATTTTTTTGCCAGCTGGCACAGGACTATTTTTCAACAGAGGAAAACAAGGAAGACTCAGCAGAGAAAGTTTTCTGATAAAAAAGAGAAATTGTGTCTTCTTTAAAGATCAGCTCAGGCAATGCCACACAGGCTCAAGTCTGTGCATGCAGCATCTTCTGCTCTTCAGTTTACACAACCCCTGAAGTTTAAGCTCAAAAATACTTGTTAAAATGCATTATGTTGTATAATAAAACCAGGCATCTGCCAGTGCAACACAAGGAAAAAAACCCCACCCAGGCAAGATTTTATTGCTATTGATTTTTATTAGAAACTATTAACACTAGATTATCTTACCATAACTAGAAGAAAGATGCAGATTTCAACCAAAAAAAACCACCTTTTTTCATTAATTTTAGGCAGCTCAACCCCTTCCTAATGTTCCCTTCAGGCTGAGCAGTTAAACGAGGTAGAACAGAGCAAACAATTTGCAATCAGGACATTTAGGAAATGCAAATGGCTCTCACCTGGCAGGTTCCCCCTGGAGAGGGTGTCTGTGTCCAGGTTGTAGGTGTCCTGCAGCCTCAGGAGGGCCTTGGCTGCCCCAGTCTGATCCTCATCGTTGGGGAAGAACTGCCTCTGGATGGTCATGTTGGAGATAAAGCCTGGGAAAGGCAGGGAAACACTGCTCACCTCTGTCCTGGGAGCTGGGTGAGCTCCCTGCCCCAGGGAAAGCCAAAATCCACCTTCACACAGGCCTGACCTGAACTCACAGCACAGGCTGCACAGTTTGCATTTGGTTTGGGTTTTTGTAAGGAAGCAAGGAGAAATCAAAAATAAACACTTTTTATTTACCCCACCCCTTCAGAAGGGCTTAAGACACACTGGTGCAGATTTCTGGCTGGCAGGTGCAGAGCCTTTTCTGCTGCCATATTCAGCAACAGGGAAGCTGAGTGTGCTGAATCCTTATCAGAGACTAAGCCTTTTCTTTTTGAAAGCTCTGCTTTCTTATAATTCCTTCCTACAAACCTCCATCTGGTATTAATTAGCTGTTGAGACAGTCTCCCAGGTCCATTATAACCAGCCTGGCTTCCTTTTGCTAAGTGTCTTTCACAGTCAACTATTTCATGTCCTGCTCCTTGCTAAAGAGCTCCCACTCCTGCTGAAGAAAAGAAGCAGCAATTAAGTGTTTACTACACTAATTCAGATGAGTTCCACAAATGCTCAGTCTCAAAAGCAGATTTGCAAATCTAATCCAAGCCCTGACATGTGAAAGGCAGCAGGCAAGCACCTGCAGTGAGCCAGTGATGCTGGATTGTGCTGCAGGCACACACACTCACCATCTGACATGTCCTTGAGCACCAGGCTCTCCAGCTCACCCCACTCTGTGTTGAGCCTTTTCATCAACTTGAATGCATTCACAGGATGGCCCAAAAACCCCTCTGGGTCTTTTGTGGCAGTAGCTGTCAGCTGATCCAACTTCTCTGCCCATCTAGAATGAAAATATTCATTAAAGTCTCACAGAGGTCTGGTGCTGTGCTAGAGAACTGATTGCAAACTACTCAAATGTCTTCACTAATAAAAAAGCCAACCAAAATTGCAAGTTTTGCATTATCTATACTTAGAGTTCTTCTAAAAGGAACAAGAAGGGCTACTTCCTTTTCCTTTACTAAATCTTCTTCCTCAGCTGCAGCCCAAGTCTTGTGCTGCTCTTGCAGCCCTGTTGGAACCCTGCTGGAGGAACTCCTTCCTACAAGCCCCAAAAGCACAGTGCCAGCACTTCCATTATGAGCTGCCATGCAGGACTAATCAAAAACAAAGCTTTACCCACATTTGCAATCTTTCAATCATTCCCTTTTTCTCCCTAAGGCTTACAGAAAGGCAGTTCAATACTTGGCTCTAATTGTTTATGTTTAGACACACATTACATCTGTGAGACACCCCTTGCCTCTCACCACAAAGCTCCTTTCCATGCTGAAAGCATGGATGAAGCAACATCAGGAGATCTCACACTCCCAAATGAGGAGCCCAGACCCAATTTCTGGTGCTGCAGCTCCAACTCAACCTTCTCAAAGTACCACAAGTCATTCACAACCCCAAGGTGCCCCAAAACAAGCACAGCTTTTGAAAAGAAAAGGAAAAGGAGAGGGGGGAAAAGGAAGAGGGGGGAAAAGGAAGAGGGGGGAAAAGGAAGAGGGGGGAAAAGGAAGAGGGGGGAAAAGGAAGAGGGGGGAAAAGGAAGAGGGGGGAAAAGGAAGAGGGGGGAAAAGGAAGAGGGGGGAAAAGGAAGAGGGGGGAAAAGGAAGAGGGGGGAAAAGGAAGAGGGGGGAAAAGGAGAGGGGGGAAAAGGAGAGGGGGGAAAAGGAGAGGGGGGAAAAGGAGAGGGGGGAAAAGGAGAGGAAGCAGCTGTACACCATGAAGAGGTGCAGGAACACCCTGCAATGAGGCTAAGCTGATGTTGAGGAGCCCCACCCCACAGGGAATCCCAAAGTGCAGCAAGAAGGCAAACCCAGAGTGTGCAGCCTGGAGGGGGCTGTGCCCATCAGCTGGAGCTCCTCCTGTTCCAGGACCTGCTTGGCCTGGCTGGGAGCTGCAGGCTGTACCTGGCAGGGAGGGGCTCACAGCTGGCAGGGAGGGGCTCACAGCTGGCAGGGAGGGGCTCACAGCTGGCAGGGAGGGGCTCACAGCTGGCAGGGAGGGGCTCACAGCTGGCAGGGAGGGGCTCACAGCTGGCAGGGAGGGGCTCTGCTGCCTCTCCCCACTGCCCCTGCCTGTTCTCCTGCACTCTGCCAGCCCCTGGGGGATTTCCAGCAGCCACAGCAGTGAGGGGCTCCCTCCAAACCACAGGAGCTGCTGGGGACCAGCTCCAGCTCAGAGCAAGGCCAAGACTGAAGGAACCAACTTCACCCTGTGCCTTCCCATGGCTCAGGGTCAAACCCTGCCTGCATTTCCCACTGCAGGAGCAGCTCCCAGTATCCTCCAGGTGCCAACACACAACGCTGGCATTTTTTCCCGGTTTCTTTTTAAATCTCCATGACAGTTATTTAAACCCTCCTGACCTCCCAGGGAGCACCTCTGATAAAATGAAAACAGAGCTGCAACAATAAGCTGTGCTTACACACTCTGGGATGCCCTGCCACAATTCCTTGTTAATTTGTAGCTGTAAAGAATCTCCTTGTAACATTCCAAACCTGGCAGCAATTCCAAGCCTGTGTTTCAAGTGACAAAGAAGGATCTTTCTTCCTGGGTGGTGGAACACCAGAAAGTAACACACAAAGGCTTAGATAAAATCCACTCCTTCATCTAGGACTGTTTCAACACCCTCAAGACAGATTTATGCATATTTGTGAAAGCAAGGAAAGCATCCTGTTCAGTGATAAAATATGTTTATTTCTAGCTGTGATAAAATCTGACACATTGGGCTCTGCTCCTCACATGGTCAGGTCTTTTCTTATTTATGTACCAAGCAGTGCTGAAAGGGAACAACTGACAATAAACACCCAGCAAAACCTGCTACTTTAAGCTTTGCCCCAGAGAAAAAATTCCACACATTTAATCAGCCTTAAGGAAGCACTTTTTGCATAAGGATGGACTCAAATGATTGACCATTAGCATTGTGACACCAGCTGCTTACTTTTTGATCTGCTCCAGCTTGCTTTCCTCTGCTTTAATGTAATCTTTGAGTGACACAACCAGATCTTTTTCTGTATTAATTAAGTCTGTCATATGACCTAGAAAAAAATGAGTGTGATGAGTCAAGGAGAACCACAAAATCCTGAGAATTAAAGGCATTTTCCTCTTTTCTACTTCCCCAAAAGTCCTTCTGCATTTGCTTAAACAACCCTGAAGGAGTATCTGAGCAAGGCCTTTTTTTTTTTTTTGAAGGAGAAAATCTCCTGCTGGACCAAGCTTGTTGCCATGGAAATTAATGTAATACTGCATATTTATTATTAGAACTAATTTAGGATTCATTTGGAAAAGGAAATAGTTTGCCACAGAGTAATCTTTCATCCAAGCATACATAATGTAGAGCAAATAAAGAGAAAGCTACAGACATACACAAAGCCTTTGTGTTTGATACACACCACTAATCCAGGGCTTTATTTTTAAGGTTATATCCATGACTTCAAGGGCTTCCTGGCATTAATTAATAATTGCTTCACCTCCTGCAAGCAGGCAGCTGAAGTGGTTCAGCACAAAGGGGTGCAGTGCCCAGACATACTGCACCATGATGTGCCCTTGGCAGCTCACCACCCCCTTCCACACATGTGCAGCACCAAAATTCTGCTGCAATTCCAATACCCTTAGGAATAAATAGTGACTACAAAGCCTAGCCTGGCTCATTAGACCACCCTGAGCTTAAAGCTCATTTCTCCCCAAAGAAAAGCCAATAACACGGTAAGAACTAGGAAATGGGTTTAGTTCTGTACCAATTAGGGCCTTGGATGATTAACACATCCTTGCAGAATGAGCTTTGAGGGCTCTCAAGAAACTCTTTTGGCTACACCAAAGCAGTTCTCACCAATGGAAGTGAAGAAGTCCGTGTGGGCACAAGAGAAAGGCAGCAGAAATCCCAGGGCTAGGGCACACCAAACCTTCTTGAATGCCATTGCTCAACAGCTCTCACCTCACCACACACCTGTGAGAGAAACACAAAGAGGTGAAAAGCCCTGCTCACCAGAGAGTGAGTGCACCTTCAGAAGGGGCAGCAGAACCCTGGCAGCCTGAGCAGCTCCCACAGACTGAGTCCCTCCTGCTGACTTTTGTACTGAGCAAAACCAATAGCCCAGGGACAAGGTGTTCACCAGCACTCTTCTTTTTGGCATCTAAGGCACGCTGCAGGTAGAGCTGCTTTGCAAAAAGCACTGAAAGAAACCACCAAGCACTGAAAAAAGCCCACAACACCAATTTAAAATAGTCCTTATCGAGTTCATCCACTCAATGGGAAAAACAAGTTTCCTTTTTTCAGTCAGAAAGATGCCAGTGGAGCAGGTCTGAATGAAAACCCACATGAGCAGTCCAGAGAGGGAGTTCTGTGCACGCTCCTGCTGCCTCTGTGGAGCCAAGCTCCACACCTGACACAAAAGGCAGCTCTGTCTGTCCCTGGATGCTGGCTGAGCACTCACAGGCTGTGCTTTCTGCAGGGCCAGCTGCCAAGCTCAAGCCTTTCAGGATCCTGATCCCTTCAGCAGCCCAGCACTGCCTGGCTCCTGCATACTTTAGGAGTAATTATGCTGTCGTGGAATTCACAAAGTTTGCTTTTTTCCCCCCCAAACAAAAGCTTAAACTTTCACGTATTGTAGCTGGTCAGAAAAAAAATGAGCTCCAGTGCGTGGAGAAAATTGATTTACAGCTCTTCCAACAGCTCAACTAATGAAGAAAAGAAAACAAAGGAAAAAAGCAACAAGCTCAGCTCCAGGGTAGTTTGGCCTGTTTAGGGAAGAAAGCAGCATAACCTTAATCAAGCAAACAACAGGTGTGGTATTCACACCAAAAAATGTGCAAACATAACCAGGGAAGTTCAAAAGCTACACCCAAACAAAAACCATGCCAAGCACAGGTGCTGGTACCAACAGGAACACATCCCTGGCTCTGGAGGTCAGGAGGCAGCTCCCTCCTCTCCTGCCAGCCCCAGCACTGCAGCAGGGAGGCTCTGGGCTTTGGGTTTCCTCTGGGGCCTGCCTGGGGAGGGGGCAGGAGCAGCTCAGCTCCACTGGCACCAAGAGCAAGAGCAGGAAACACACACGAGCCCAGAAAAGCAGCACAGCCTCCAGCTCTTGTAAAGCACCCAAAATCTGCCTGACCACAGCTGAAGGGCTGATGCATTCTGGCACATTACAACTCGCCTTCTGCCTGGGAAAGTGAGAATTTGGACAGAGAAGGCTCCTGGAGTGCCTCTTTCCCCCTCACCAATGCTCCACAGCAGCCTTCCTCACCTCTTCCTCCCCACAGGCAGCCATCAGGCTGTTTCAAACATACCTAACAAAAACCCACTGATGGCCACCTCCATTCTTACTGAAAACACCACTCAGCTCCTGTTTCACCCTGCAGAAAGCCAAGTGCCTCCTGCTCATTGAGCACTCGAGCCAACACATCTGTGAATCGGTGACAAAGCACAAACAGCTTTACTACATCGTAAATATTTGCCAATTTTATCAGCACTGGGAATGCACTGAGCTATTTGTTTACTGCACTCAGTGAAACACAAGAGAAGCTTCAGAAAGTTTCCTTTTTTGCTGTATTAATCAAGATGAAACTTTTTCAAACCACAAAGGAAAACCAACAAACCGAATCACCAAAAAGGTGAAGAAAACAATGTTTCCTCTCCACCTACTCTCTTAGTGACAGTGTTCCATCCTGGTTTTCCTCTTCTCCAGCTGCCTTTGCAGCCTGCTCCAGCACCAGGCTTCTGCAAACACTGTTGCAACCTTTATTCCCACCTCCTTATCTCCACAGGCACACAGCAGGAGTGACTGCAACAGCCACAAAACGCAAAGAGGGCAATTCCAAGGAGGTACAAACACAAAGTTTCTCACACTTAGGCACTAGAAGAGGCTGCCCAGAGGAATTGGATCTCCCACTCTTGGAGGAATTTCAGAAGGAGCAGAGCTTTCCAACCACTGCAGCAGGACCAGCCACAGGTTCCCAAATCAAAGAAAACACAGCTCAGTTCGTATAGACACTGGAAATCTCCCAGACTCACAGGCTGCCAAGTAAGTAGGCTTTAATTTCTTCCCATTGGTGACATGAAGTAAAACAAGATGAAAATCCTCTCTCCATTACTCCTGTCAGTCTCACCCTCCTCCTCAGCCATGTCCCACAGAAATGGCAAGTGAGCATCTCGGGGAGGAGGGGATCTCTGCCCACACAGGGAAGTGGGAGTGCAGCTGACAGCTCCAACACAGGAGCTGCCTGCCTCCCCTGGGAACGAGCACTGACACAGCAAAACAGCAGCAGGGGAAGGGGGGAACAGCACAGATACAAACACATGGATTGAAGGGAAACAAAGCAGCGAGCAGAGCAATGGCACTGCCAAGAGCAGCGCATTCTCTGAGCACAAAACAAATTTCAACACCACCATTTCAACTGAGGTAACTTCAAGGGGGTTTTCTGGGGACTTCCCAGAGTTCAGCTCTGCTTTACAAGTAGAAAGGTGCAAGCAGGCAAGCGAAGAGAGCTGCAGAGTGACACATGACACAACCTCATCACAGTCAGGTCCCATGCTCAGGGACCAAAGGCTGAAGATGCTCATTAGCCAAACCTCCTCACTGCCAGCTCCAAGCTCCCAGGTGCTCACCAGGACTGAGAAAACAGGATAAAAAATGGAAACTGAGGGGCTACTTCAACATGGAATGGTTCTAACTCAATTCCAAACCAGCTTCTTTATTTAGGTGAGGAGTAACTGGCCTGCTCAGGATGAAGGCCACTGCAGGGCCAGGAGACAAAACTCTATCACCAAGACCCCCAACTTTTGATGAGAAGATGGATCCATTCTCACAATCCTTACTGGACCCCACTGTATGTAAAGATAATAATAAAACCCCTTGATTGAGAAGGAGAAGATGGAGCCAGAAGTGAGAGCTGCTCACTGCCCTAAACCTCTCCTGTCTCAAGGACAACCCAAGCTACAGCCTCATGACACAATGTGACCAAAAATACCCCTGAAAAGGAAAGAACTCTCCCAAAATAAGTACTAAGAACATTTAGCTGCCATCATTGCTTAAAGGTCTCACAGGACAGAGGCACCAGAATCCAGTTCCCAACTCCTCTAGCATGTTCAAAGGCTGTTTTAAAATGAAGATCCAAGCAGTGAGAGAAGAAAGATTTTCTACAATTGCTGCTACCAAAAGAACAGGGTGCACTTTAGGCATCCTTTAATGACAAAGTTACAGTATTTTATATAAATGAAAAACATTTATATAGAAACATAATAAGAGATGAGAATCAATTTCAAAGTCAAGGACAGTGTTCATTTACTCCCAAGCTGAAGACAACATTCATGGCTGAATACAGAGCAGTTGGGTTTGTACAGAGATTTATACACAGGGAACTGAAGTGAATTTTGCCTTGGTTTCCTCCAGAGTAAGGTGGAATGGACACAGCCCTCAGAGCCCACCTGTTTGAACTTCCCAGGCCAAGACAAGGAACACTGGGGATGGAATAGAGCAATTATTTTATTAGACACACCTGGCAGGAGGCTCTCCTTCTGCTTAAGGATTAGCTGAGCAAATACAGAGATATCTAGGAACATTTTCAGATATTAAAATGATTGAGGGAGCTGGGGGTGCTCAGCCTGGAGAAAAGGAGACTCAGGGGTGACCTTGTCACTCTCTACAGGTCCCTGAAAGGTGCCTGTGCTCAGCTGGGGCTGGGCTCTTTCTCCAGGCAGCACTGACAGAACCAGAGGGCACAGCCTCAAGCTGCACCAAGGGAAATATGGGTTGGATATTAGGAATAAGTTTTTTACACAAAGGCTGATAAAGTTCTGGAATGGCTGCCCAGGGAGGTGGTGGAGTCACCATCCCAGGATGTGTTTAAAACCAGCCTGGATGTGGCACTGGGTGCCAGGGTTTAGCTGAGGGGTTGGGGCTGGGATGGGCTCAATGATCTTGGAGGTCTCTTGCAACCCAACCCAGACATTCTGTGAATTCTAAAGAAAGCAGGACAATGCCAATGACCACTTGGGTTCTTCCACTGAGTATACACTTTTAAAGAAAAAAAGATTGCCTTATCTGTACCAACCTCAGCATGAAGGCATGGCTTTCCTGCTATAAACCTCGGCTTATCCTCACTCCTCCCAAAGTGGAACTCACCACCTGTCATTTCAGTTTACCAAACTGCACTGGGCACTTTGCAATCTACGTGCAAGCCCCAAAAATTACAGATTTAAAGGCTAGATTTTAAAGCCATTCATTATGGAACAGCATTTAAATCTGCACAGGTCAGAGAGCTGGCTCAGGAGGAAAACAAAGAGAAAGAAAGTTAATGAGTGCTGGTTGTGTCAGCACATACTTCAGAAGCAGTGCAGAATGCTCCAGGTCAAATCAGTTTGCTCCAAGGCATTAAAAGGAATCCAGCAAAGGTCCGAGGAGCAGGGCAGTGGGACAGGGAACATCTCTGTCCCCAAAGGCCAGTCTGGTTCCCAGACAAGCCGGGAACTCATTACCTTGACTCTCCGCCCCTGGCAGAGCACCGTCTGCAGCCCGAGCCAACAGCCCCTGGCGCTGTGGGGAGCTGCACGGATTCACTCGTGTAACCAAGTAAATAAATGCCTTTCATTCACTAAAACCTCGAGCGCTGAACTTTTACTGGTAAGTAAGTGAACACTTCAGCACTCTGCATTCGCCTCTTACTGAAGCCAGCAGGAAAAAAGAAGTGAAACTGAGTGCTGGGCAATCCCGAAGGATCTTTCCTATGGGAGCAGCCAGCTTTTCAGGCAAACTGGAAGATTTAGTTTAAGTACACGTGACATTTTTATTATATATAATTTAGTATTTATATACTTATATATTTTCTTCTACTATTTATTATGTTTTTATTATATTCGTCAGCATGCTGAAGGCTCCAGAGTTTCTCCCGCCAGTCAGGCTGGATCCTACCAAAACGGAACGGTATCACTTACTACAAAGGCAGATGCAAAATTCCACGTAGAGCAGCTGGCTGAGCCCAACCCAAAGCAGCGGCGAGGGAAACCAAGGCAAGCCGCGTTCCCCAGAGCGCAATCCCCGCGCACAGCTCACGCCGAGTAACTTTCCATCGCTCCCAGCCCCGAGCCGTGCGCTCGCAGCTCCCGCGGCCGCACGGGCAAGGCGCTCCAGCCGCGGAGCCACCGAGCGGGGCCGGAGCCCACCTGCGGCACCGGAGCCGACCCGGCCGAGGGGAGGACAACTCCCAGCTCCTAGAGGAGGAGGAGGAGGAGAGGGAGGCGGCGGCTGTGTTTAGTCTGCCAGCCGCGGGGAAGCCGGCGCGCCGGCGCCCTCCCGCCCCCCTCCGGAGGCTGCCGGCTCCCGTTACGTAAGGGCCGGGAACCCCGGCCGGCAGCTCCGGGACACCGGCCCCTGGCCGCGGGGAAGGCGGGGGGCGGCGGAGCGCTGCCACGTATCGCCCCCACCCACCGCCGCCCGCGCGGCAGCCGCCCAGCCCCGCGGCTCCCTCCCCCCGACCCACCCGCCCGGGCACCGTCACGGCTGGCAGGACGGGGCGGCCGGGCCTCACCTGAGCACGGGGGGCGGCTGGGCGGGGGCGGCACTGGAGCTCCGCGCTCTGCCTGGGGGCTTCACCCACTAAGCGCGCACGGCCCCGCCGCGCCTCTTATAGCCGCGCCTGGCCACGCCCCCTCAGGCCACGCCCCCCAGGCGGTGCGGCCCGCGCGCTACGTGAGCCCAGTCACAGCGGCGGGCACCGCACCGCGCATGCGCCGCCAGTAGCGCCGCATCTCCACGTGGGTCCGCCCGGCCCGGGGACACCGCGCACGTGGGACCGCCACCGGCCCAGGGACACCGCGCACGTGGGACCGCCACCGGCCCGGGGACACCGCCACCGGCCCAGGAACACCGCGCACGTGGGACCGCCACCGGCCCGGAGACACCGCCACCGGCCCGGGGACACCGCGCACGTGGGACCGCCCCGCCGGTACCGCCACCGGCCCGGGTGCTGCGAGCTGGGAACAAGCCCCCAGGAGAAGGAGCTCGGAAGCGCGGAGCCGGAGCGGTGTTTTTGGAGTAAAACTTGCCAGAAAAGGCCCAGAACACGGCCCCGCACGTTGCTGCCAGGGCAGCTGGGCTCAGCATCACGGAATCAATCAGGCTGGAAAAGAGTCCGGGATCATCGAGCCCAGCCTGGGCGGGCGGTGCTGCAGCGCTCCGAACCTTCTCAGGCACTTTAAAAAGCTGCTTGGGTGAGTTTTGCTCGGAGAGATCGATGGTGCCCTGCTCTTTGCTTTCTAGGGTTTCATAAATAAACTGGTTGTTTGTTCATTCCTGCAATTCAGTTGGAATCAGAGACATTCCCAAGCATTTTTCCTTATCTCTTTAGATGAGGGTTTCAAGGCAAGGATCACCTCCTCATTAGCATAGCCAGCCTTCCATCTTTGCCCTTTCAATTGGTGGTCGCTCCCAGCTGGAAATCTTTCACAACAACAACAGAGAGCTGGCAAAGCCATAACAGGGCCAAAACCCCCCTCTAATACACATTTTTATCAGGGTGACTGCCCTAAAACCACCTCGTCCAGAAGAGGGACCTGGAGGCTGCAGCTGAGATTTCTCCCTGTACCCAGACTGTCACCTCAGCTCCCAGCCAAAGGGACAAAACCTCGGGTGTTCCGTCCCATTTTGGGGGGGTGCAGGAGACACAAACAAGGGCATGAGGTGAATGTAGTGGTTTCTTGTCCAGCTGTGGACTCAGATGTGTCCACACAGCTGACAGCAGAGCAGGAAGAAGGCCAGTTTTTAGTGGAACTATCCATCAAAAAATAAGCCTTCCCTTCCTCTCATTCTGGTCGCCTTCCAACAGAAATACAACTCCTACAACTAGCAGGAAACTCTGGAATGTTATCCAAGCTGAGGCATCCAGTTAAAGCCCCATTATCCAAAGATCCATAACATCTAGCCAGAGATTTAACAGCAGCTTCTAGAGATTTGGCAAAACCTCACACGCTGCAGAGGCACAGGCAGATTTCTTCAAGCGAGGTCTGCTGCTTTCTCATCCTCCTTTGCACTCTCCAGATATTTTTAGGAAGTGAGGCAGGCAGTGGAGGACACCAACAAGTCCATCAGCACGGGGCTGAAGGCTCCAGCTCGTTAGATTTGATTAATGAGGTTGCTGAGTCACATTTATATCAATCCACATTAGCACAAAAGGCCCAGCTGATTAAAAGGTCCATCATATACATAATAGACACGATTCTAACTTCAGAGAAAAGCCAGATTTGGGTGGTTTGAATCTAAAATTTAATGATAGAGGGCAAGGCTACTCTTTAGCTTTCTCTTTAAAGAAGTGGTTTGTCTTTCCCTAAGCTTGTCCTAAAAAAAGGATTTTTTTTTTCTTTCCAAAAAGTTCCTTGTGGCTTGACCACAAGTTTTTGATGTGAATTTGCTGGTTTCATGTATTTAAGGCAATTAACAGTTGTTTTACAAGGGCCAGCTGTTAGCAATTCTAATGCTTATTTCTGCTTATTGGGGGCAACTGGAGATGCACAAAACAGAAAGAAAAAGCAAGATTAGTAGTATAACCATTATTAGCCTGGAATTACATTTTCCAGCTGCTTTTATGGCTTGGAAAAATCTTTTACCAACTCTATACCCCAATATGAGTATTTTACAATAGAAAATTAAAGAAAAATAATATAGATTTTAGATATAACAGATTTAAGATTAGATATAATAAATTTAAGAAAAAGAATAATTTTAGCAACACAGGACCAAAGATTTACCTTGACTTTGTCCATGTAAGAGAGGATGTTCCTGTGTCCTTTTTGCCTGCTCCTTTGGTTTGCTCTTACTGCATCAGGAGAGTTTCTGGGATTCATTTCCTCTGGGGCCCTGCCAAAGCTGAAATTGGTAAGCTACACAAAGCTGTCAGAGACTCATTTTTGTGTCCAGGCCCTCACTCCCAGGATTGCTCCCAGCACGGGGTACAATGTCTGCAAGGGACTGATATAAACAGTTTAGAGATGCAACTCACTCAGCTTGGAGCCCCAAAAATGCTTACAAAGAAACAACTCAAGTGCCAAACCAACAGCTGCCATTTGTGCTCCTTGAATTAAATGATTAAGAGAAAAGGTGACAAGCAAGCCTCTGTTTTGAAATCATCCCCCTTGCTGACATGCTGCAGAAATATCCAACAGGCCAACTGAGGTGTGAACCCTGGGGGAGGAGGCACAAGGGATCTCTCACAAATTGCTTGGCTTGCCCCAGGTCAGGCCAACAGAAAGGCAGACTCTTATCTCATTTCTTATCTCCCTGAGGCACAGGGCTAGGTAGGCATGGTTGGGCTAATCCAGCCCGTGGGGGTTTGAGCTCACCTAACAAGGAGAGGCCAGAGCACTGCCCTGGCTTTTAGTCCTTCCTGTGACAGGGAGCACTCACCAACACCTGGCTGCTCTGGGCTCAAGCACCTGGAGAGGCTGGCCCCAGGTTTGATGGCCCAAGCATCTCCCCCAGCTGCTTCCCTCTAAAGCCAGCTCTTCTTGCAAGATCCATATCTGGGGGCACTTAGGGTCAATAAATCTGTTAGTTTGTTTTAACAGCAGGGTGGATACTTCCCTTAGAGATTATATTTCAATCCTTTATCTTATTAAGGGAAGATGTGTTTTGTCCATTAATCCAATTAAGCTCACTGGATTAATAAAGACTGGGCTTGCTCTGTTTCAGGAAGCATAAAAATAGCAGTCAAGCATAATTAAAGCTAAACTTGTAAGTAACTCTGGTAACAAGAGCACTATTTCCCTGGATATTCTGTTTATTATTTTTACAAGCTATGCTCTCAGATTACATGACGTGAATTCACGATTAGAACAGCTCAATTCATGACCAAAAAGCAACAGGCTGCCCTGAAAACATTTACTTTTTGTATGTTTATAAAATTCTCTTTGTGCTAAATATAGTCAGGTAGGCTCCAACCCAGAATAATGTTTTTAAGACTCGAGAGGAATCTGTTGGATTGCAAAGGAATGAAAGTGATTTGTCATTATTCTGACTTGCCCTGGCACAGGCTGCTCTCTGATCAGAGCTGTTAAATCCAGCTGTGGGTATTTGGATGCTGGAGCACTGAACAGCTCCAGCCTTTGGATATATCCAGCTGTTGGAATCTGAAATGCAAGGAACAGGCTCTTTGAACCTGTAAACCAAAGCTTAAAATTAAACACAGGATTTGATCTGAGACCTTGGAAAAAACCTCCAAACTTAAGTGCTAAAAGCAAAAATGTAGATTTATAGTTTAAAACAAAAACACGTTGAGCTAAGTAAAAAAAAGTTTAGAGTGGTAAAGTTTAAGATGTAAAAAAATAATTACAAAAATAAACAAAATAATTAAAATACAATGTTATAAGTTTATATGCCATAACATAATTAACTAAAAAAGCTTACAATAAAACATAAATGCATAAAACAAAATATTTAAAGGTTAAGTAAAAAACATCAATATCCTTATTAACAATATTTTATCCTTATTAATGATATTTTATCCTTAAAAAGTCTTATAACTAAAAATCTTGTAACCTTCTAAACCATACCATAACAACATAAACGAAACTCACCCTTCCTACCTATATAAAAAATTTAATAAAATAAACTACATCATCAAAAATAACTCCGAAGTCCCATCTCAAATTCCTTCCAAAATTCCCCACAAATAAATGATCACAAATGGTGCCCCGTGTGATTTTTGGCATCTTTTCCTATCCGAGGACGTGTGGTCCTTTACTTTAAACAACGCTCCCGTGCTAGGGATACAAAACCCGGTAGAAACTTGGGGCGGAGAAAAAAGGAAAAGGAGAAAGTAAGGAACGGGAACACGCTCCAGCCTGGCCAGAACTACAATTCCCAGCGCTCCCGGTGCGGGAAGAGCGGCTGGAGCGCAGCGGAGGGGTCAACCGGGCTCTGCCGCTGACCGGGGCCAGCCGGGCTCCGCCGCTCACCGGGGCCAGCGCTGCTTCCGCGCCCGGCGCAGTAAGTGGGGAACGCGCGGGGAAGGGCGGCCCGACCCCGCTCCTGCCTCCTGGAGTTCGCCAAAGCTCGGGAATCTCTGGGAGTTTTCATGGTCCCAGCCAAAGCCTGGCGCGGTGGTTGCTAGGGAGGAAGGGGTTAAACGCCTGTCGCGCTCAGGTCGGGGCACAAGCGCTTCCCTTTGTCCCAGCCGGGGACGTCGGTGCCGCTCGTTCCGGTGCAAAGGCGGCGCTCCGGGTTCAGCGCCGGGAAGCTGGCACGGCGGGCTGTGCGAGACGCGGGGGTGCAGAGCGACACACACAGGGCTGTCACCCCACCCAAGCCTCTGTGACACGGGCTGGGTGGCACTCACCGTCCTCACGGGTGTCGGCACCAGCGTGCCCAGCTCCCACTGCTCCCAGTGGCTTCCCCAAGGGATTGTCCCGGTCAGCTGAGACGGTGGGAAAGGGGGATATGGCAAAGTGTCCACGTGCAAATAGGAACCTGTGCTGAGGCACCTCTCGGGCTGCCAGGACTGCCCTGTGCTGAAGGAAGAGCTCTGACACTGTCCCTGGCACCTCTCGGGCTGCCATCACTGCCCTGTGCTGAAGGAAGAGCTCTGACGCTGTCCCTGGCACCTCTCAGGCTGCCATCACTGCCCTGTGCTGAAGGAAGAGCTCTGAGACTCCTCCTGGCACTGTCCGTGTGTCTGTAACAAAGCAAAGGGGACTTGCTCCGTAAAGGGTTTTGTGTTCTATGGCTGCAGAGTGCAATGTTCTCAGTGACCACCAGGGATTGTGCACCACAGTTCACTTTTGTCTCGGGTCTCTGGCTATTTCCTGACATCCTGAAGCCGAGGTCAGGCTTTCAGCCTGGGCTGAAAACGTGCTGGGATTCTTTGGCACAAAAAGCGTTCGTAGCTGGAGAGGATCCCACTCAGCTGCAACTGCTGTCCCCTGTCTAGCTCAGGGAATTCTCTTCCACAGCTGATATTTTGTCTTTCACTCTCTCCTGGCATCAGTGCCTTTCCCACAGATCCACTGTGGGCTGCAATAGGATGTGTGGTTGGATCGAGGCCATTGCAACTGTGTAGGAAACCAGCAAAAGTGCAGCCACCTTGTCTGCCTTTTCCCCAGGGACACAGGGATTTGGGAGAGGAAGGTCTAATCTAGACTTAGAAGCAAGTTCTGTAAGAGCTGTGTACACTCAGAGGTGGAAACAAACTGAGGTATCTTTAAGTAGTCTTAAAACTGGCCTGAAATGGAGTTTGAAGTGTGACTGAAATGATCATTTTAGAAAGCAGATTCTGCAGATGCTGTGAGAGGGAGATTTACCTGGTTATTGCACCTTTTAAATCAAACTTAACCTTGCAGGGCTGCTGCATTACATTTTATGCTCTTTTTTTAGGCAGAGACACCAGCTGTAAGTGTTGGTTATGGCTGCAGTGTATCAAGCACTGCACAGGAGAGCTTCCTCCCTTGCCTGCAGGTTGCACTCCACCTATGTGAGAAAAATGAGGTAAGTTCTCATCTGATTCCTGAGTACTGGGAGGCCAGAGCTTGGCACAAGCAGCCCTACCTCACCCTGACCCGGGGGTTAATCCTTTACCAGTTCAGCCATCACACAGAAATAAATGCTTTGTGAGCTCTGTGAAGTGTAACAGCCAAGGCCTCTGGGCTCCCTTCACCACTGGTAAGAACTGCTTCTCTCAGGCTGAAGCTCTGTTAATGATTGCCTGTCCTGCCTAGAGGGCTCCTACAATACCAGGAAGACTTGAAGTGGTGCTGCTCACCTCTTTTTAAATACTGCTCCAAACAGCCTGGAAGGAGAATATGCTGACACCCTTTTTCCAATGATTTTTTTTTTCCTAACCCAGCTCCAGCCAGCTGTGCCCTAAAACTTGGTTTTTACCCCTCACATCTGTGTGACAGGTACAACATAACACATGTAGCCTGATGGGAACCAGATTCAACAGCAGAAGTGCTCAGCAAAACATCATTTGGAGCCATCCAAATGCACAGAATATTCCAAGCTGGGAGGGATTGGGGTGTATAAAGGGAAGATCAAGGTTTCCTGCAGCCTTCACAGCAGACCTTTTGGATTGAGAGACTGGGTTACTGATCTTCTTGAATCTCCAAACTTGAGGGTACTCATGTGGTAGGGAAGAACTGCAGTACTTTCTGCCACACAAACTTCACTAGAGGCTGCAGTCCACCAAAGAGTAACTCAGCTGTCAAAACTCTCCAAGCACATGGAATACCTGAAATCTGATCTGCCCAGATCCCATTCAGCCCCCCCTGCTCTGTGCAAAATAAAGGCCTCCAAGTAAGAAATCATCTCAACACGATCTTCAATTCATCTTCCCAATCATTTTCTCACTGCAGATACTTAAATCAGTTAAAGGAAGATGACAGCCTTTGTAGACAAGCTCAGACCTCAGGAACTTTCTACCTCTTTCACAATCTCTCCCCCTTCCTGCAGAAAGTTGGGAAGAAATATTTGGTACCACAGCTCAGTGCAGCAGGTAAGAAAGAAATCAGTGCATCCAGAAAGAAACACCAGGTGGATCACACAGCTGAAATGAAACAGACACACACACATGGTATCAACCTGATCTGTTCTGAGCTGATCAGGTTTAAACATTTGGGACTGTGCCTTTTGAAGAGAGAGCTGGCAGGAAAACAAACAAGGCTTTACTGACAAACATCCTTTTGGTGTAATGTAGGAAAAGTTTTCTTTGAGAGAAAGCTATTGGCTGGTGCAGGACAAAACCAATGGACAGCTGCTTCCCAGGCATTGCAACATTGGGACCTTTAGCCTGACATGGTCTAAACTTCCTAGAGCTTAGGAGCAAAGCCAGATTTTAGGTTTCTACCTGTGTGGGATCACTTGTCTGGTCCCCTTTCACACATGGGCATTCTGCCTTGAGCCAAGATTGCCTGTGCCTTGAAGATCCAGAGAGCAAATCCAGAGATGTTTTTGCTTTCATCACAGCTTTCTCTCCCCCTTTCCCTGCTGTTCAGAGATGAGACAGGTTCTGGAGAAGCTGCAGGAGGCCGAGCAGTGGCTGGAGAAGTCGGTGCTGATCGGATGTTCGGACGAGCACAGGCCGCGCTTCGCGCTGGATTTAGGTTGGGATGACTCCTCTTCCTCTCCCACCCCTGCCAGCACCAGTTTGATGCACTGGGATGGAGGAGATCCCTAATCCTTGGGAGGACCTGTCCTGCCACTCACATTTGGGAATGCTTCCCCTGATGTGGTTCACTTCCTTGGGAACTCCCAGAAACTGTATATTGGAACAGCACAGAGCATAAAATTGGAATAATAGCAATAATAGCTGTAATTTATGAGATCAAATTTTCTTTTTTTCTTTTTTTTTTCCCTTGAACAGGAGCCTTGGATAAATCAGTCATTGAGGCAGAACTGCAGGGATCATTTACTGACCTACGAAAGGCTCTCTTTGTCGTGGACAGGAAGGATTCTCCTTTGCTGGCTTCGGTATTGGACAGGGCTTTTTACTTTAGGGAGCTGTGATCTCTAACATCAACCCTTCTCCTCATCTCCCACATTGTTTTATGATCTAATATTGTAGAAGTACCTACTGTACACTTTCAGGAACTCAGATACAGACACACTATAAATTACAACAGTTTTCCAAAATTTGTAGTCCCAAAAGGAAGATGCAAGGGAAAGAGAAACAGAAAAGTGACTTAAAAATGACTGCAGTAATTTCTGCCATTTAGCTGAAATGTGCTAAATCACAGCAATCCCAGTTTGTCCTCAGCTCAACAACTATCAGGCAAACTGGGAATCACAAGCAAACTTACACATCTTCTCTGAGAGCTGCTCTTTTAAACCCTCTCCCTTACAAGCTGGTGCTCTGCAGATGCCCTGTGTTTGGAAGGCCTAAGAAAAGGCCTGTGTGTGAAAATCAGCTGTCCTGACCCATGGGGAGAAATAGCTCATGTTTCCTTTCCTGCTCTATAATCTTTGTGATGCCTGGGCTATTTTTCAAGAAGATATTCAGGGCTGGAGACTCTTTAGAATAGTCCAGCCCCCAGTATAACTCCCATTATGTCCCAATAAACAACAGCTCTTGCCCACCTCCCCCAAACACTCAAATTTAGAAGCAGCAAACATGGATTACAGAATCCACTTTTCAAAACACTGCCCGTACTTCATTCACCTTTCTGAGGCTTCCAAAGCTAATCAGAGTTTATCCCCATGCCTGCACACAAAGCATTATTCAGGGGGACTGCTCTGAATTATTTCTTCCCCCTAGGTGTGTATATATATATAAAAATGAGGTTTGTGCTCCTCTGTGTTGGCAGGCCCAGTCTCTCCTGCGGTGGCACGATTCCCACCAGTACTGCAGCAAAACTGGGCAGCCCACTGAGAAGAACCCAGCTGGCAGCAAACGTGTCTGCCACGCCAGTGGAGTCACTTACTACCCTCAGGTGAGCCCTGGCAGCACAGGACAGGGACACAGGGACACAGGGACAGGAGGGCAGCGCTGCTGGCTCACCCCTGGGGGGAGCAGGAAAAGGGATCTGTGCCTAGCTGGGTACTTTGTCTTTAGTGGTCAGCCAGCGACCCTCAACCAGCCAGAAAAAGCAAAAATTTGCACTCACTTGTTTTGTCTGAAGCCCTTGTTTTGCTTTGGGTGCACGTGGCAGGTGTCTCCAGTGGTCATCACCCTGGTGTCTGACGGGAGCCGCTGCCTCCTGGCCCGACAGCCCTCGTTTCCCCCGGGCATGTTCACAGCTCTGTCAGGCTTCTGTGACATGGGTGAGTGCTTCTGATCCAGCACAGTGGCCCTGGGCATGCAGGGTGTGGGGACATCTGCTGGGATAAATCACATGGGATTCCATTCTCTTCATGGAGGAAAAAGCCCCTTTTTTAGTCACACAACTTGTTTTTATACAGTTTTACAGACCTCGTGTGTGACTCCAATTGGATAGTAGCTTTCTTGCTAATTACTTTATTGGTAATTTAAAAGTTGTTACCCTCACTCAAACCACTGATGTGTATGTGCAGGAAAAGTTGTTTGTGAGAGATAGTTTTCATTTTTCTGTCCAAAGGTGTAAAAACAGTTCATACAAGTGCAAGTTGGTTTTTACCCAGGAATAGATTGTTATGCTAAGGAACTGCTCACACCAGAATTCCTTTCACATGGGAACTTGCAAAATGCTGGCTTTGACAAGGCCAGCCAGTGACCCCAGGAGAGCAGGCTTGATTCTATGAAGCCTTTCTTTATGATTTTTCTACCTTCCTGCAAGAGACATCAGCCATAATCTCTGTTCACAGAGGAGGATGGACACACAGTGATCTGTGTCCCCATCCCCACATGTGTTCAAGGCCAAGCTGGGTGAGCCTTTGAGCAGGCTGCTCTAGTAGGTGTCCATGCTGATAGCTGGAGGTTGGAACTAAATGATCCTTAAAGTCCCTTTGTACCCAAACCAGAGTGTGATTCTGTGATAGCTGGGAAAAAAAAACAACATTATATCTAAATAGATAAGTGTTTGCATGCAGACAGAATTCAAAATAGCTGTTATTACCTGAAGGGAATGGAAATTATAGGTGTCTAGCAGTTGTTCTAGTCCCTGATAGCAAGCATAGGCTTTAAACTTGCTGGGTTATAACCCCTGATCCTTTTAAAATCCATTTTGTGGCTCATGTGGTCTGGCTTAGATGGAAAACTACAGACCTCTCATTACAGGAGGGAAAATGGATTAAAATTCAATTGTCCACCATCTGTATGTAGATGGGGCCAAAAATGTCTCTGGTGTCTATCAGAGGTTGATGAATTTAATGGAGCATCCCGCCAGCAAGTGTTTCCAGGACGGCACAGCTGCAGCTCCTGCGGGTGGGAGTGAGCGTGTCCCGCGTTTCCCTCTCCACGGTTCGCTGCCCTGGGGCCGGGCCGTCCTTGCCTAACTCCGGTCGGTTCTAGGTGAGAACGTGGAGGAGGCAGTGCGGCGAGAAGTGGCCGAAGAGGTGGGGCTGGAGGTGGAGTCGCTCCGCTACTCGGCTTCGCAGCACTGGCCCTTCCCCAGCAGCTCCTTGATGATTGCCTGCCACGCCCTGGTGGGAGCGCAGCGGGCTGAGGTGAGCGCCTCGGGCTCCCCGAGCTATTCCACGGACCGCCTCAGGCAGCAAAACCTCCTTCAGCCCACAGAATTTAGTTAGGAGAGCATCAAAGCCTCCGTAAATGCAATTTTCCATTGGCTTTTTCTGCAAGTGCAGAAGAAACTTTGAAACAATCCCATCGTCTCCTGTTGCAAGGTGCCAGATTTCACTCAGGTCACTGTATACACGAGCCCAGAGCTCAGCACCCCTGGATTTTTCCCTCTGAACTTTGCAGAGGAGGTTCCTTCACATATTTGCCATAGAGCACTCACATTCCACCACGTTAATTACTGTGCTCAGCCACTTTGCTTTGCCACGACAGAGCAGGGTTGGTTTGTGGCTTCCCTAAGGAAGGCAGCACAACAAAGGACTGGTGGATAGAAATATCCTTCTCTGGGCTGGCATCAGTGCCTAATTCAGGCATGGATGTAGCACTCTGGGTATTCCAGAATGGGGTCTCTGTGGAGGCAAGGTACCAATGCCCACATCCAAAGCTGATTTGAGGAACTGGTGCCCTCTGAATTCTTTCCAGATCAGTCTGGACACCCTGGAGCTGGAGGAAGCCCGTTGGTTTGGCCTGGAGGAAATTGTGGAGGGTCTCAAGAGGGAGCCCAGCTCTTCCAAGCAAGATGATGGTAGTTTTTTACCCTGGTTCCCTCCCAAACAGGCCATTGCTCACCAGCTGATCCGTGAGTGGCTTCAGCAGCAGACTGCCCAGAGAGCTTAGACATGGCTTCATCCACTCTGGGATTCCACCAGAGCTGTCAAAGCTCCACAGAAAAGCTTCCAAAGCTCCTGGAGGCAAGGGCTCTGTCACAGTGAGGACAGCACAACACTGATGGCACTCAGACACACTGACCTACAAAGGTCTCTGAGCTGATCTGACAGGCCCATGTACAGTGGATCACCTCTGAGATCCCGTGGTTTGTAGTAAATATACAATAAAATTCTTAGTTCCAAAGCATCCAACTTGTTGTGACCAGCTGTCACTGACCCCATGGCACCAATGTCCCATTTTCATCCATTTCTTCTGTCTTGGGTGGACATTGAATGCACCCTTTTTCCCAGAACAAAAATAAAGGGAGAGTGGCACTTTCCAGTGTCTCTGTTTATATGGATCTGGGAGAGCTGTCAGAAACCAGAAGAAAAGCCACTGCCTGTTTGCTCTCCTCTTCTTCTCTCTCTTCCCATTCAATCTTCTGTTTTCATATAAAATACCCAATTTTTTTTTTTGTAAATGTTAAATGGGCTTCTACATTTTCCCCATTGGTAAAACAGTTTCTTCTGTCCCAAGAAAGAGAGAACAGAGCTATCTGGTGGTGGAGAGGGGAAGAGCAAGACTGCACATAAGCATTTTAGAAGACCACAGTTAATGCAAAGGTGACAGGAACTGCTACAACAAGAACTGCACTTAGAACAGAGAAAAATCTTGAAAGGATCAGGGCCTCTTACCCTGAGGCCAAAGTCTGAGCCTTGCCTGGAGAGCTGGTCTGATTTCACTGATGAAATGGTGCCTCCTCTCTGGAGGGAGAACAACAAGGGAACCATCTGGACAAGGAAAGCTTAGTGAAGGAGACACTTGAGAGAAAGGATGTTTGATGTGCTGCTGACTCAGGCTGACAGTCCTTTCTGCCTGCTTGCTCAGAGCTCAGATGCCAAGACTGCAAAGCCAGGTGCTTGAAGGGGACAGGGATGTGTCCCTGACTGCCACCACTGGGATTCACTGCAGGTGAGCAGTGGTAAAAATCTGCAGTCCTGACACCTGAGCAGCAAGTAAAAACAGAAGTCTTCCACACTTCTGAGACACACTGTGTTTGCTTGGGTTACTTTTACTTCAGGAGGTTGGGAGGGGATTCCTTCAGACCATGGTGGCATGTACAAACACCCTTCCTGGTATTTTAGTTACCAGTGAGAGAAAAAGTCTTTTCAATCTACTCAAATAGGGATTTTTTTGGTAGAGCTAGAACAGCTACAAGATAATAATCACATCACATCTTTGGAAAAGCATTAAATTTTAAACTGTTTTATAAAATCCTCAACGCAGACCCTTTTGACTTAGTTATGAAACAACATTGGTGGCCTCCATTCCTGATGTTAAACTAGCAGGAGTGATGATAGGCAGTACCCAGGACAGAAAAACAAGGTGAGGGACATTGTTCTCACTTGCATTTGCCTCAGAAATCTGTCTGAAGCCTGAAGAACACTCGCTGCAATCAAGACAGGACATGCTCCATAAAGGCAAGTGACCTAGAAAAAGGAACAGGCAATTCCTGACAGAGGCTTCCTCACCAAAACACAGCAGGGCTTTGCCATGGAAAAGGTACCAGGCAGGCAGAAGGGCACAGAGCAACAACATATTTCTCTCAAGAATGCATCCCTTAATTGAATCCTCTTTGGAAACACTTGGCTTGTATAAATCACTGAGAGCCCTCTGCTTTTAGGGATTTACAGCAAGAGCCAGCACTGAAAAGCTGCCAGCTGGGGCATTACAGCCCAAGTGCTCATAGGTATTACCAGTCAGCAGGATACAGAATGATAGCACTCATCTGATGAATCAGATGTAACTCTTTGGCTAGCAGGTTGAGCATGGCATGTCACCTACCTCCCAAAAATAGCAGGGCATAAAACTCATGTTGCTACCTCCCAAAAATAGCAGGGCATAAAAACTCATGTTGATCTGTAACAGGTGCCAGCAAAGGATTGAAGTAAGCAAACCTCATGACACAACTTGTTTGATCTCTGACTGCCCATGATGCCTTGAGAAGGCAGACCTAGAACAGAGGCCAGACAGAGTTAAAGAATAAAGCAGGGATTTATTAAAAGGATCTCCTCAATGGTTGCACCTTGGGCAGCATGAGAGCCCAGCCAGGGCTGCACCCAGGATGAACCAAAATGGGCACAAAATGAACCAAAATGGTCACAAAATGAACCAAAATGGTCACAAAATGGACACGGGGTCTCTCACTTTGATCAGTTCCGCTCCATTTGCATATTGGAGTTCATTGTGCAATTACATCCTCCTTGTTTTTTTCTTTTCAATTCATCCTTGTTTATGCTCTTGGGCCTGAAATTTAGATAATTTGTCCTTGGTCCCAAGCTAGAGAAGGAATTGTTTTGTGAAACTCAGAACTACACACCAAAGCAGTACAGAATCTGAAAAATATAAAAGCTAAAACTTATGGCATGACTCAGAAAAATCTTATCTGGAAACAGTGTGGGTAGAAAATTCACTCACCACATGCTCTCCCATCACCTGGGCTGCTCTGCTGCTGTGTGGAAAGGCCACGCTTTGCTATCCATCATTGTGGATGGCACAAGATCTGACTTCAGTATTACAGTTCTTACATGAAAAAATTGTTTTACCTTCAAACAAGCTTCAAGACACTGTGGACACACACTGAGCCTGATGTTTGGCCTGAGAGGACATAAGCACTCCATGGAACACCCTGACAACCTCACCTTGTAGAAGTCATTTGTCAGCAAACCTTTTTGAGGGGACCACGAGCAGCTCACCTCTGGCAGCTGCAGCAGACAGGTTGTCAGAACAACCTGTAAATGCACAGGTACAATCCCTGTGTTCAGTCTCAGGCACTGCTTGAACAAACTCATCTGCCCCAGCCTTCAGCTCCCATCTAAATCTTGCTCACTTTTCAACCTAGCAGCAGATGGAAAGCTGATATAACATCCACTGGTCCTTGTGCTCAGCTGTAGGTAGGACCCTTTAGGTTGTGCTCTTCAGTGTTTTTACCTATGGAAATACTGCAGAGGGACGCAGAAGATTTACTAGCATGTTAAAAAGAAGCTGAAAACCCACAAAGGATGACATTTGGGATAGGGACACAAGCAAATTCACACATCATATGACATGTGATGACATGACAGTTAAATATGGCTGCTGTGAGTATGCAGCATGGAGGACAGCTAGATTAAACTAGAATAGATTCCAAAACTATTTGGCCTTATAACTGCAGCTAAGGTTAATAACCCTCACCAATTAAAAAAAAAGGAAATCTGCTCTGAACTAATTTGGATCACCATCCCTGCAGCCATTGTGTATCGTGACTCCTTTTCCCACCAAACTACAAAGGCTTTCCTGGAAATCTCTCATGTTCTGCTTCCTACCTGTAACAGTGCTCAAGTGACCCGTGTGATCTCTCTGAATGAACTGAGCTTTACCTTCACAACAGCTCTGCTCTTCACTTCCCAGCCTCGTGCCCTTGGGAATTTCCATCTGGGAGCGTTGGCCTGCTGAGGGAGAGGCTCTGTTCCAAACATCCCCACTTTGCAGCAGTACCCCATGATGGGATGTTCTCCTGCCTGGACTAATCCTTTGCTCCTCAGCTCCAGCTGGAGCCCAGAAACCTGGCAGTTGTTAAGGAGCCTTTGCCATGGCACTGCCCCACCCAGCTGATTCCCAGCCTGGCAGCACAGTGGGCACCCATTCCCAGCCCTGGCTGTTGTTTCCATCCCGCTGCAAGGAGCGCAGTTGTTCCCAAGTGTTCCTGCAGCAATCCAGGCCCAGGTGTGTGTGGGGTTTGCAGGGGCTCTCTTGGGGGTACCTGGGGGTGTCTGTGGGATTGGGGAGGGGGCCTGAGCTGTGGGGGGGTCTCTGGGACTCCTGCTCTTTGTCCCTCGTATTTCCCATCCTTTTTCCTCTCATGTTTTGCACCCTTTTCTCCTCACCTTTCTAGAGCTTTCCTGCTTCCTAAATGCCACCTTTTCACTGTTATGCCATCTCCATTTTTCACTCTTTCCCCCCTTTTTTCTGCCTTTTCCCCAATTTTTTGGCCCTTTTTTTCTCCTGCCCTTTTTTGCTGTCTGTTTTTGCTACCTTCATTTCCCACTCTTTTTCCCCCGCCTTTTTTCCCCACTCTTTTTTGCTGCCATTTCCCCACACACACTTTATTTCTGCCATTTCTGTCACCCTCTATTCTCCACCCTTTTTTTTTTTTTTTGCTGTTCTTTTTGTTGCCTTTTTTTAGCCCTTTTTTTTGCCCCTTAATATAAATCCCTCAAATGATGGAATCAGTGGGGGTTTCTACCAATTTAAACTGTAAAAACTAAGGGACAATAAAGATTCCTTGTCAATGTAAACTGAAAGATGATGAAAATTGAAGGTTTGGTCTCATTTCAAACTGATAAAAACCCATCACAAAGGGTGTTCCCTGATCTATTTCAGCAAGAAAATGGGGATTCCCCATGCATTGATAGCCCTGAAACAATGGCCAAGGCAGGGTTTCTTTCCATTGATACCCTCAACATTGCAGGTGAATGGGGATTCCCCCAGTTGAAACACAGACAATAAGGGAAAATTAACCAGTTAAACAACTCCAGAACACACTCTGACAGAAATCCATTGAAAGGGAACCCCACACCACTTGTGTGGTTCCCTAATTAATTCCATCAGGCTTCCTTCACTAAAAACACTCTCAGAATTAAAAGTGGAGATGCCTGGTGTGTTACCTCAAAGCATGGAAGAGGCAGCATGGAAATGCTTCTTCTTCCATGGCAAACTCTCCTGGGAGCACTCCCAGAGCCTTGCAGGGCTCCACTGTGAAGCTGCTGAACAAATGGAAATGGTTGGGATGAGCACAGCCCCAGAGAAATCCCAGCCCCACTGATGGAAAAGTCAGATTATCCAGCAGCAGCATCAGCTGGAGTGTTTGCAAAAGAGCAGCTTTGTTCTGAACCTCAGCTTAGGAGCTCTCCTCATGCACTAAGGGAGTCCTTCCATCTATTTGGACATTTTCTATAGCACAGGACACACAGCAGTTAAATGTGACCATGTTCTTCAACTCAATCATTCTTTTAAAGTATCTAAACTTGATCTAGCTACTCATCAGTGGAGAATTTTATGTATTTTCAGTGTAAATTACCTTCCCTACTCAAACACCAACCCCTCCCAAGGTTCAAGTACCTCTGTTTTCCACCACTAACTGCTCATTATCCTTGTCTCAATTAAAA